CTTTTTGTATCCATTAGGGAAGTTGTTGGCAATGTTTTGCACTGAGCTGCATTTTGGCTGAGGGAGGCGCAGAATAAAACATCACAGAAGAGCTCCACACCCACATCACATCTGCAATATAATCCATGTCTCTGATGTCCGTTTGTGTCTTCCATACAATCCCTTTTTTGGGTAAAATACAGCACACTGCTTCTGCTTCAGTCCTCATATATGACCCTGTTAAGCTTATGAGCAGGCACGTGTGTCGGTTTGTGTGCTGGCTTTGTTCACTCTTTGTTCACTCAAAGTTATCACCCCAATAAACAAAATACACACTCAACACAACCAGATGATCTGACCAATGGAAGAGCAAAAAATGAGCTCTGTGCTCAGTATGGCTCATAAAGACGTTTTCCCTATACACAGCCATTATAAACGTCACAAACAAGAACCCTGAAATCAGAGTTTGATTTCAAAAGAAGCGAAAAGGTGCATCACTGAATTATTTTTTATTGCTGTTCAACTGTTCGGGAAGCCGACGGGAAGTCAGCCTACCCAGCCAGAGGAAGTCTCTAATGCAGATGCTATCAACCAGCTGAGCCAGAGAAAAGCTGTGCAGTGTGTGTTGTATGGGCCCAAAAAATGCAAACACCTCTGAAAGCCTACAAATGTTTTTGCCGTATACGTCTTGCATCCAGTTCTCCTAATACATCCATAGTTCCAGCCAATGCACATGCGCCAACAAGCTTGGCAGGGGAATGCATAAGAATGGAGATGGAAGCTGGTGTTTAATGCATTTTTTTTCACATACAAAAGCTTTTGGTTGTAGTGCAACTCCAGCAGCAATTGTTTCAATTCATTCAACCTAAACCTTAATTTGATATAGCTGCACTTATTGCTAGACACATCACCATACTTTGCTATAACACAGCTGCCAATACAGGATTCTGTCTGTGAGAGTCAAAGTTCAAGGATCTCCAACATCCTGCTATTGTTTTCAGAGGTTTTCCTGTTCTGCGAGGACACAAGTGTCCACCATGTTTTCAATTCCTGTCCCTAAACGGCGCAGCAGAAATAATTACTGTGGAGCAGGTGTCTAGTGGAAGGGGTAGTAAGAATGATGATGTATGGACTTGAGGTCAGGAATGTAAAGTGTCTGTGATGAATAGTAACTGTTCTCTTAATATGTCAGTATGTCACAAAGAAGCAGCAGGAATGAAGCTGCCTCTACATTAATAGATTGCTGTTTATCTTTGACATAATCAGACTTTAAAATGGATATGTTCTGCTCATACATGAATAGATATACATACGCACACGCACGCACACATTCTCCTCTATCCCAACGTACTTTAAGTTTAATGAATTGCTGTTAGGAACAGTCTGCATTTTAATACATATGGACGAGTTCCCAGTTATCTGCAGACAACTCTAGTCCAAAAGAAAAGAAAAGAAAGGTTTTTGATCTCAGCAGATCCAGTGTGAAAATATGACTCCATCATTAGTTTAGTATCTCATGAACCCACTGACTACAGATGTTACTGGATTCATGCAGCTTTTGGGAATTACTTTTGCTTTTGCTTTTGCTTAACAGTATGCTGATGTTGTAGTGGACTTAATTATAGTCAATATATCGAACAGTTGAGAAACAGTGTTCATTAATGGGAAACGATGAAGTGAACAAGGCTGAAAAACAGTGTTTGCATAACACAACAGGTCATTGTATATATAGTAACATATAAGAAATAATAGTAAGTAAGAAAACGTCCAAATTGAAGGAAAGGAAAAAAAACAATTTTAATAGTAATGGCCACACATACTCTGGTCATCCAATTATAAGCTGTTATGAAGCTTTAAATGAGGAATGTCACCTTCACACAAAGAATTGTAGCCTTCATTTGTATGAGTATGACCACGTTTCAGCTGCTCCAGTCTCACTCCCCATTTTCTCCATCAGCCTTTTTGTCTGAAGATAACCCCCTCCTTCCTTTTATTTAAAAAAAAAAAAAAAAAGCAGATGGCTCCTTCTCTAAATAGAAACGCATAGAGGCAACACACAGTAGGTCTGCCACAGATAATAACTGCATGCTTCATCAAGCACCAACATTAAAGGTTTAACTTGCCCACTTTGAATTAGAAGAGTTTTTGGTAGGTTGCCCAAACAAATCCCACCTGCACTGGGAGCACTTCCCATCCCATCGCTAAATCCAGTAACACTGTAATCAAAAGCACTGTTTGAAATGCTAATTTTTCTTTCTCAAATTAAAGGTCAACAACTTCAAATGAGCTTATGCTTTAATACACTGAATGCTTTGCTTTTGAACAACAGGCAATGCTAATAGTGATATAGTTAAACTGGCTGCTAAAAGTCCCCTTTTCATTCCATAAATCAGTTGGTGTTGATTCATTTTTTTTCCAGAACATTGCATATGCAATTTTATTAAGAGGCTCATTTGGAAAACAATGTTTTGTTTATGCTCGATTACATTCTAGCTGCAACACATTCAAGCTGGAAGTGGGGCATCCATGTTTGTGGGTTCAAAGAACTGTCTCATATACATGTGAGGAAGGTGAGGAGGTATTAGGGGGTGGGAGTATTTCAAGAGGCATTTATACAAAGGTTATAATATTATACAGATTCTATAGGAGGATGATATTAAACATTAATCCAAAGCTTGATCTGTTGGTGGTTTCGAACTGGTGATCATTCTTGACAGCAATAAAGACTTATGTGATAAACTACTCACTGACTGTTTTATCTGTGCTATAAACACTGCTATTTTTATTTCTTCACTCGATACAAATCAGAGCCAATTATGGATATCAGAAGGATTTCTTTATGTGCAATCATCTTAACTTTGACTGCAGGCCTACATTCAGAGCATTCCTTCTCCTCACAGATTGAAAAGAAGCACAGAAGGGTCCCTCACTTTGAATAAACCACAGCGAATGAAGCCTCTCAAAAGAGCTGGGAATACTTAGGGAATAATTCTCCAATTGCTCATGGTTTCTCGGAGGGAAGGGCACGCACCACTTTGGTGTGTGTGACCTATTTTTCCAAACTCATCTGTCAAATGCAGAGCTGCAGCTGGTGGTTCAGAGTTCCCTTTTTGTGAAAAAGTGTTTTCAGAAGTCCTCCCTGTCACTCATGTGCATCGGTGTCACATTTTCCAGGGGCATTTCTTTTGGCTCGCCTGCTTTGGCACCGTTTGTCCCTGTAAAAATATTGAAGAAAAAAGACAAACCCGTTGCAAACAAGGAACATGCTGCTTGTCTGGAAAGGAAAGACATTCTTGACAGGACTGATGTAGCAAAGTGGTATCTCTCCCCCGAGCTGGTTCAGAGCTCCTTCTAAAAACCGAGCTTTAAGCCCTCAGTGCTTTGGGGCAGAGGGAGGCCCCTGGATAAAGGGGAGGGCTGGGACAATGGTTAACCACAGAGTGAAGCATGCTGCTTGAGGCTGAGACCAGGCGGCACGACATCAGAGAGAGAGAAAAGGCCCCCCTGCCTCCCCAGCTGACAGAGCCTGCATATATATCCATGAGGCGGGCTTGGGTGACCAAATTACACCCTCAGCAGCATGGAAACACAGTCTGTGTCACTGCTGTGGTTTCACCATTCAGTCAGCAGTTCATCTGCCGGCAGTGTTGCTGCCATGGCTCAGATATGTGTAAAATCCATCCTCAGTCCTTATTTTTTAAGGGTTTTAACCTACAGTGACTCATGTTGCAACAAATGGGTGTTACAACATGCAGTGACTTACATTTAGGAAGTTCATTTTTCTGTTACTGCTTTCAAGTGCATTTCCATGCCGACCTTTTGAAAACAAATAAAGACAAAACGCAAAACGCAAAAGTCCTTTTGAGTGGAGGAAAAGCTTGAATGAACTGGCCAAATAAATTCTTTCGTTAGAAACAGCACATAATGTGTTGAGTTCTGTGTTCCTATGGGAACTTATTACTTGAAATGAAGGAATCAAACATTTTCTAAAGAAACCTACAAAGCACTTTGTTTTGTCATCATACAGGTTGATTTGCAGGAATTCCTTCAAGATTACAGGGAAAAAAATGGAAAACATACAGAGATGAAATCACAGCTGGATGTACTTTAATCTTTAATTCTTGTCATTAAATTGACTCAGGAAGTGCACTGAGGGAAATTGTGTTTTTATGTGACAACAAGGCGTCTTGGTTTATTAGAAACAATTTGATTTCTAATCAAGGATGCTCATTAGATAGGAGGTTTCTTTCCTTTTGATAAGTGACACCACTGATGCCGTTTACTGAAGCTCCTTCCATCCAGTTGTGTTTCTGTTCTGCAGAATAGGCCTTTCTCTGTTCCTGAGTGGAGGCATCATTGCTGCTGATGACAGCACTACAAAGAGGAATCAGGTTTCTATCGTCGGTTCCCAGTCGCATGAAGGATCTGTAGTTTGCCCGGCAGCATCAGTTTCCTCTTCAGGAGAAATGTTACTCTACTACTTGGCCTAGAAGGGGAGCGCATTAGCTTCTCATTAAATCAGTCTGATCTCACTGTAGGTCCACAGTGTAGACACTTATGAGAGGTCGTACACAAAGGTCATCTGACTGGCTTGGCAGGGAGCCTCACTGGTGCTCTCGCTCTCAGCTTCATGTTGCTGGTAGGAAAACAGCAGTCCTACAGATGTTTTTGGGGTCTCCTTTCTATCACAAACCTTTGGCTGAAAAAAACAAATGTCCTCTGTAAGAACAAGCAGCAGGTTCTTAGGAAATGTGGCCGTCATTTTGAGGAACAACATTAACAATACTATTTGCAGTTCAATCTGGCTGTCATTTTAACCACGTATCATTTCTTTTGAAATGTTGTGCATAGTCCCATAAACTGCTAACACAGAAACCTTCTGTCAGAGACCGATACCTGAGCTTACATGATAATGCGGTGCTTTGACACGTTGTCTCTGACCAGGGCATGTTGTGCATTTGCTGTGACAGCAGTGTAAACAGTTGACTCATGTCATTTTTGTTTGGTATTTTGATGGACAGAGATCCGTAACCAGCTGGTGGAGCAGTTCAAATGCTTGGAGCAGCAGTCTGAGTCTCGTATCCAGCTGCTGCAGGACCTGCAGGAGTTCTTCCGCCGCAAAGCAGAGATTGAACTGGAATATTCCCGCAGTTTAGAGAAGCTGGCCGAGAGGTTCTCCTCCAAGATCCGCAGCTCCAGAGAACATCAACAGTTCAAGTGAGTGCCCCTCCCTACAGATGTTGCATGTACAATGTGTGTGCATTTGAGAGGTTGTGTGTTATTTTTGCATTTTCATATTTGCTTTCCTTAATGACATTTACTTCAAATAAGAAGTTTTTTCTTTGAGTTTTTTAGAGTTCACTTTAAGTTTGTTTTTGTAAAGTTTCTTTCCCTTTATTCCTTTCAATGTGCCCCCTGATCACAGGGATCCGATCTCTACACACACTGTTTATAACCAGACTGTAAGACCCAGCCTTGGTGCTTATCACAGTGCCTCGTCTGATTACAGTGCAGATCTATCCAACAAAATACGCCAGCATGTTTATGTACTGTAAGGGAATATCTATTATTACAGTCAACATCTTTATGATGTCTTCGAAGGTCAGCATGATGTTGAGAATGCAGTTCAATAACGGAGTTGAAGACTGTTGAGGGGTGGACTTAAGAAATTCAAGGCACTCTTGGTGCTGAAATGTAGCACTTAACTTTATAGAAGAAAGCTTTGAGTGAAGCTTTATGCTTCATTATGTTTTAAATTGCACTCATTATGTAGAAATGTGGCTATAGCACAAATTCTGCATCAGGCAGAAACATATGAATTGGGTTTGCATCAGTGTGGATGTTGATGTTGAATTAAAAACCATGTCATTTATTCCAAGATAGTTGCTTAATAGCTAAAATAGAACCGCTACCCTACAGTGCAGTTGGTGCTATGTGTGTTTGCTTGAAGGTTAAATTAACTTAACAAGCAAAAGACAGATCATTGTGTTATTGTGAAGTTAACGAGGATGAACAGGGATTAGTCATCATAGATTTAAAGGTTTTTTAGAGTGTTAATATTATGTACTGTTTGTTGGGTGGGGTCGGGTCATGGCAAGGCATGGCATGGCTCAGGTGATTGGCAGCTGGTCCATGGGTTGGCGGTTCAATCCCCAGGCTCCCCCCAAAGGAAATCCAGGTTGTGTTTGGAAGGGCGTCCAGTGTAGAACCTATGCCAAACCAAATGTGTGGATGGTGGTCCACTGTGGTAACCCTTCACTGGAGCAGCTGAAAGACAATAACAAAGTATTGGCTGTAGGCCTGTGTTCTACAAAATTATGCAATATCAACATAGAATTACAGAACTACACATACGCACTTACAGAGTAAGACATTTTTTAAATTATTTTTACAGAATTAAAATATTTTACATGTACTGTTGTACTGAGTGTCCATTGGCAAAAAGGGCGAACAGATATTGCAAGTGAAGGAAACAGAGAATATGGAAGGTCAATGGATCAAAATCAGCTCACCTGTAGCCTTGACCCATTTAGATTTGTAGCCCTGGAATTACTGAAATGTATCCTGGTGAAGAAAAAGGGGCTCGTCTGCACAGAAACCACCACTAACGCATTGGTACATGACTCACGCAGGGCATGAAATTAAGCTCTGCCGCTCCCAAAATCAAACACCTCAGGCGAACAGGCAAGTTTAGTTCAGTCTGAAAACAGGAGCACTAACCCAGCTGTAATCTGGCAGCAGATCTCACACATGAATCTACACCATCATATATGTACTCCAACCACAGCTCTTGACTCTTCCTGCAAATGGAACCGGCAGGACTGCACTCACTCAGATGCTCACTGATCTGCAACAGTACTTTTAGTTTAGTAAGATATTTTGGCATTCTCTACACTCTATAGGACAAGGTCATGTAGAAGTGTGTGTATACAGTATGTACATGTACTGTATGTGTGAGAGTGAGTGTGTGTGTGACGTGGATGAGGATTTGACTGGATAATTGGGTCCAGCTGTATTATTGGAGGCCAGCTTCACACTGGCGTCTGGTCGTAGACAGAACTGTGCTGCTTCTGCTGCGACACAGCGGCTTAACCTTTGGTTCGTAAAGTTGATCTAATCCACACAGTGAGGGACAGGTATCAGAAAAACAACTAAACCTCAGACACATGTCCTAACAATATCACACTTTACTCTGTCAAGATCATGGTGAACTGCCAAGCCAATTGTCTCAGTGCACATGCATGCACAGTATAGTGAGACCTAATTGGACAACAATGAGGAATGCACTGACTTGCAACCCCTGTATTACCCCATGAATTCACTAAATGTGTAAAAATAATTGCAAGAATTCAACAATATGAGCTGAAGATTTTAACTGAAGAAGTAGCAGATCAAACAGGAAGTGTGGGTGGGAGGCACTATGCTTGACATGCAGAGAGGATGTAATATTCACTCAGGCTGAAAGTCCTTGTTACCTTTTATTTCACACAATCATTTTGCATAAGAATGAAAACATTTTTAAAAATTTTTTTTTCCTGCTTGAGGGAGGCAGAAGATTCATTAAATTCAAACTGACCAGTCTGTCATCAAAAGTGAATTTGGAGAAGCCACAAGAGGCTGATAACATGATTGCAACTTGTGCCTTACAGTCCTGGTCTGAACAGGCAGGCAACCACAAATCCTGATAATCAGCTATGACACGCCCTTAACTGCGCCTTTCCTCCCACTTTAGTGTAGTTAAGTTCATGGCGAGCCACCAAAACACCATGTGGGCTTAGGCAAAGAAAAACCACTTGTGTTTGTCCAATAAAACCATTTAATTGGCACAAAGCCCAACCATGCACTGTGCACCAACCAAAACACAAAAAACATGTTAGACCCTTGAACCTGACAGAGCTCTATGTTTTGTGTACACTATTAATTGCTTTTGATTTTGTCTTTGTTATCTTCTCTACTCGGTATTTCATCAGATGCAACAAAATCTGAACTATTTTTCGACATGCCTGTAGCTCGCTGTCTTTCATTGCAGTAAAGGTTGTGCTCTATAAACTCAAGAGTACTTCAGAAGCAGCCTAGTAACTTCCACCGAGTTGTACCTTTATGTCTTTGAGGGACATCAAAACAGAGCAGTAAAATTGAGTCGTCCTGACCAGGACGGACTTCCATATGTGCTGGATCACAGCCTACAGTCTGTTGGCTGAACCCTCCCAGTGCAGATTCATTAGCAAGCCGAATGCCATTGTGATTTACAGCTTCTGCAGCTACAGCTACACCGCAGCAACCCGACCAAGGATCATTTTGCTCTTCCAATTTACCTCATTTGCCTCAGTGAAAAGAAACACTGAAGGGTTACTTAGCTGATCTATACTGTAGTTGCTATGCCGGATAGTGCACCACTTTTTTTCTTCTTACTGGTTCTCAGTCCCTAAGAGACAACAGCTAACTTGATTTTAATTATGGAGCAGATGTTTCACGGTGTATCATTAATGGGATTTATAATGTACCCCATCAAATTAGAGTGGATTGGTATCGTCTATCTGTTACACAGACATATACAGATGTAGCGTAGCACCATTAGAAAGGCAACTCATGCAATATTGATACAGAGAATAACCTGTCTGGGAGAGATAAGACGGGGCTTGCAGTGGTGTCCAAATTGGTGTGTGTGTGTGTGTGTGTGTGTGTGTGTGTGTGTGTGTGTGTGTGTGTGTGTGTGCGTGCGTGTGTGTGTGTTTGTAGTAATCTCTTGGTTTGGGAGGAGCTGGGAGAAAAGTGTTATTCTTTGCAGTGGGTGTTATTTCAGGTTTGAAGCTGCCTCTGCTCATGTCTATGTGATGTCTCTGTTCATTTTATGGTCAGCAGGGCACAGCTTTGAAAATGCTGAAATTGATCTTCCAGCCTGTTTCTTTCATAAATGCGATATTACACATTAAGTGTGATGCAGCCTGTGTCCAGAGCTGTGTTTGTATTTAAGCAGCCTCTATGAAAGACCAGGATGCAATGCTTTAGTTATGATATAATTATGAGGAATAATCTGCAGTTATAGGATAGGACAAGATACTCTAATGGTGCTTTGTGGACTACAAAGCCCCATATAGTCTTACTGTGTTATTGAACTGCTCTCTGGTGGTCTGAGGGGCAAAAGGTTAAAAGGTTAAACTATATCTCTCTTGGCTTGGTGTGCTTGAACACAGCAGTCAATTCCCTGCTCTTGTCAGATTGACAGTTCCAGCTGATGGAAGGCAGCATGTTCAGCATCGGTAGATTAGCTGGTTTGCAGTTTGTTTTTTTCAGATCTTGTCAGACCCTCGTCTCGTCTTCACTGATGCTCTGGCCCCTGCGTCTGTGCAGCTGTGCGTTATCAAATGTTGGCAGTCTGTCCTCTCACCAAAAAAAAAAAAAGAAAAACTGCTAAATGATGTGCAAATCTGCAATGTAGCATCTTGAAGCCCTGCTTGAAAACGGGGGCAGAGCAAATTTGAATGGCAAAGCTGGCGGCATGTGCCCACGTGCCCCTTGTCTTTTGAAACTGTTTGGCTCCTTTTCCTTGGCTGTTTCATTGATAAGCAGCAGGCAGGCAGTGTGGAGGGGATTAAAGGCCTTCACAGAGCCGAGTCCTGGTTTGATAAATACACACTTCCTTCTGGAAATCCTAGCTCAGACACATCATAGGCTCTGTGTGATTAGATGGTGGCATCCAGTGCAGCCATGACTAAAGAACGGGCACTGTTCTGTACAATGCTTACTTGTTTAGGGTATGCACATTATGGAGACAGCTTGCCATCAGTTTATCCTTGAATCAAAGGATTATCACAATATTCTCCAACCATACACTCTGTCATTGTTTCCCCCAGTCACTTCTTCTGTCTCTGTGTCTCGTCTCCTTTATGCTCCTCCGTGCATTCACAGAATATAGTATGTGCTTGTCTCTGTCTCACAGTGGCAATGAGGGAGAGCAGAGAACTGTAAAAACCAGTGAGACAGTCAGGCAGTGCTTTGTAGGATGAGACAGATGTAATAGGATGCCAGAAAGCCGCACTCTTCTCTCCTCCTCCTCTTCCTTCTCACTTCTCTAGAGACTCTCAGAGCTCATCGTTTGCCTTCTGCATGTTAATGATATCCTGTGTATAAATACAGAGGGCACTGAGCCATGCCAAACCAACCCTTTTGAAGCCCTCTATATTAATTGACCTGCAGGCTGTCAACTGATACTCAGCCTTTTTACGGGAAATCAGAGAGGAGAAGTGGGTACAGAGTAGAGATGGAAGAATGAGTTTTGCTGTGTCGGTCCTAGAAAAGGTAGTGTCTCAGTGCCATAAAACAAGGCAAGGAGCTACATTTAGTTTTGTGTTAAAATACTCCCAGAGATGCAGCTAGTATACAGGCCTAATTACCAACCTTCTGCTCATAATTCCTGTGAAATGAGGACAGCGGCAAGGAAAAAAGAAGCCTTGTGTCTCTCTCTGACGCTTTAACATTCACCATTAAGAAGTTCTTGATGTAAGAATAAGTAAGGATACCTTAGCTTGGCTGTAGGAATGGTAACGTTGGTCCAGACTTAAATATTTCTAACTATTTTTCTAACTATTGAATTAATTTCCATAAGCTTTTGTACAGACATTCATGGTCCCTAGATAGATGAAGTCCTCCTGACTTTTTCCAGTGCCACAACCAGGTCGAGGTTTTCCCTTATCTAGTGAAAGGTCTCCATATCTACTATTGATTAAATTTTGTGTAGCTAGATGATATATCCTAATGACTTCAGTGACTTTTCCCATAATACTGCCATGAGGTTGGCATTTCATTTTTTAACAAATATTGAATGCATTGTTATGAAATATGGTACATGCATTCATGTCCCCCTCTGGATTAAATGTAAGAATGCTGGTGATTTCTTACTTTCGATATAGGAACATCATTGGATCACAATGACAATTTACTTTTGGCATTCTCATCAACACCAGCTGTACTAAGTGTTGCAAATAATGTTAACATACTAACACATTAAACTAAGATAAGCATTATACTATAACTGTTAAACATCAGCACGTTAGCATTTTCATTGTGAGCATATTAGCATACTCACAATGCATGCTCACAGTGGGAGCTCAGAGCATGCTAACAAGCTGAAAGGCCTGTTTAGCTACAAGCACAACTGTGCCCAGTGGACGTGCTAGCATGGATATAGAGTCTTAGTTGTGTTTTGTGCTTTATGAACATGAATAGGTTTTTATCTATGTTCCTGTAGATTAAATATCCGTAAGGAATAAATTCCAAAAGTGTAGGTTATATTGTAGTATAGTCAGTGTGGCATAGAAAGTAAATAACCTGGTACCCTAGTCAAGTGAAACACTTAATAACTTTAAAGGAAAAGTGACTTAAGCAGCACATTTATCAGCATATTAAGGACCACGGGTCCATAAGTACTTTAAACTATCAGAGGAGAGCTGAGGATTTACCTCTGGTGCACACATAACAGTGTTTGGGTGGGAAGCTGATGAGGATAAAAAAGGTAAGAAAATGAGAGCCTGGGTGTGCTTAGGGATGTGATGAAGCATCTCTGACCACTTTTAGGGATTAGCCAGAAAGTGGAGTTACTTGTTCCCTAAATCTCTCCACCACAAACAGCGATTATACACCAACGAGCTGCGTCCCCTTACAGGCAGATAGGTCAGTCAAGCAGAACTGGCACAAAATGAGGGATGGTGAGACAGTAGAAATAGGCCATCCCAGAGGAGTGAAGGAGATTGAGGTCCACATTGGATCATCTATTGTTAGTAAAAACTAAATCTTACCCATCCTTTTCATAGTCTGTCAGATGGGTTCATCTCATTCCGATACAGCAAATTAATGTCCAATTTAATCATTTCAGTATTACTTCTTGACTGCATCCCTGAAATGTGGCGTAGATTGATGACTGGAGTTTCTCAGCTCTTTCAAATGACCATTACATTTCTGTAATTACCAATTAATTGACTTGCCTTTGAGAAAAAGTGCCTCTTAGGACACCATGCTCAGTCTAACACTGAAGATACAGGCCAAACAATAAATGGAATTTTACTACACATGCCAACCCATCTCCACTGATGTTATGAGGATGATGTGCTGGTGCTGGGGTCCTGTCAGACTGGTGTAAGTGTATTTAGGGGCAGACTTAAGTAAAGGAATAATGGAGAAAGCACTCTGGAGTAGCTAGATATCAACTTCATTAGATGTGATTAGCATTATGAAGGCTCTCTGACGGAGGGCTCTTTGATGCTCATCCCTTCTTCTGCTCCACAGTGAAACCCTATCCCCCACCCTGCTCTAGCTCTCTCCCTCCTTTACTCCCATTCCCCCCTCTCTCTCTTTGTTTCTTCCTTGGGGTTGGTTGATTGATTAATGCTCAGATAGGATCCAGACAAGGGTATGGGTTTGAGAGGATTGTGTGTATGTGTGTGTGTGTATGTGTGTGTGTGTGTGTGTGTGTGTGTGTGTGTATGTGTGTGTGTGTGTGTGTGTGTCTGTCTGCTGCTCTTTCTATGTGCCTCAGTCTTTCTATTTGAAAGCCTGCGAGGCGGAGACAGTTTAAACTGATTATGCAGCAATCAGGGCCCATGACTCTGAGGATCATTATGGTCACCAGCATTATACATTTAACCAATTGATGCCTTACTAGAGTGTAGCATTGTTAGAGTGCTGTGGAGGGCAGAGAGGAAATGATGGAGTGAGAGCATGTTAAACATTCACTGAGGCAGAAACTGAGTAAGGAAAGAAAGAAGGAAACACTGGGGAATTTGATGCCGCCACAGTCGTCTTGTTGTAGCACATTATGTCGGTTGCTATGCTGTTTACTTTAAGAATAACATTTTTAGTCAAACGACGTTATAGCTGCCTGTTGAACACTGTGGGGCAGTCATTAGTTTTGTTTGGCCATGTTTTGAACTTGTTGCAATTCCTCCAATAACCATTCAGTATAATTTTAGCCATATTAGCGGCAATGCTGGTTTGTCAGTCCAGCACTTTAAGTGAAATATCTTAATGACCATGATGGACATTCTTAGTGTCCAGAAGATGAATCTTGCTGACTTTTCCTTAGCATCGCCATGAGGTTGAATTTGTAGTTTTTAGTGAAATGTCTCAACAACTTGAGGTTGGATTCCCAAGAAATTTGGTACAGACATTCATGACCTCCCACAGGGAAATTGTAATCATTTGTTTTCATCAGCTCAATGTTTACTTTCTCCATTACTTTGATTTATGACTAAATACATGCAAATGTAATGACATTCCCATCATCCTCAGCTGTACTTGGTATTCATGCCAAATAACAAAAACAGACTAAACTAAGATGATAAACATAGTTAACATACTTGATAAACATCCGCATGCTAGCATTGTCATTGTGAGCACACAGATGTTAGCATTTAACTGTAAGCGTCACTGAGCCTAACTATGGCCTCACAGAGCTGCTAGCGTGACTGCAGACTCTTCTTGTCTGGTTCAAACTCAGATATTCTAACAATCATGTCTTCCTCCCTATATTTTGTTTTTCAGGAAAGACCAGCACCTGCTGTCCTCAGTAAACTGCTGGTACCTGGTGCTGAACCAGACGAGGCGTGAGAGCCGCGACCATGCCACCCTCAGTGACATCTACACCAACAATGTCATTGTCCGTTTGGCCCAGATCAGCGAGGATGTCATCCGCCTCTTCAAGAAGGTCAGTGAAACTGTCATCTCTCCCTCTCCCTACTTTCTTATCAGCGGCTCACAAAATGTCCAGGGAAGATACAAACACCAAAGGCATCTTATTTCTAAACTTAGAGTCTCATTGGTATGCACTGTAGTTGCTCTTCAGTTGAACTCAGTTGAAGTCTAGCCTTGCATGCAGACTGACTGAGGCGCTAAGAAATGTGGCACCATGAGCTCGGTCTCAGCACACTCTGAACTGGTAGACGGTGTATACGTTCTGTCTGGCTTGCAGAGTAGTAGTTGTGGGGGAAAAATGGAGCTGAGACCCATCTGGCCCAAGGCTCCACAGCCCCTTCCAGTCTGAGCAACGTCTGGCTCATTGTCAGCACATAGCAGAGATGACTGAAGTCTTATCCAAACATCAGAATCCTGTTTTCACCTTACAGGCCTTCCTGTAGGTGAGCTCCGCTCTGCTTACAAGGCTCCATTCAGATATTACTGTATGTGTGTGTGTGTGTGTGTGTGTGTATGTGTGTCTGAGCGTGTGTGTGCGTGTGTGTGTGTGTGTGTGTGTGTGTGTGTATGTGTCAGAGACTGTGCCAGAACTAAAAAGAGAGAAACACTCCACCGTTTTTTGAGTTAGGTGCCCTCAGGTAGTTTTTTTTCTATATTTTAAAGTGCGAGTGGATGGCACAGCTGCTGCTTGCTGGAAGACACATTGGAGGATAATAAATAATGTATCAAATATAATGTCATGGAGTTCTGGAGAAAATTAAGAATCTGAAACTGAAATGAATGGCGGAGCTTTGGATGACTGACTGTTGGACATGGCGAGGTGACCAAGGAAAAAAAGTACAGCTGTTGACAAAAGCTGTACTTTTTTAGAGCGGGGATGTGTCATATTAGGGATAAAATGTATTTATTATGATGTTCAATATGTTCAATATGTAACGGTCTTAAACATGTAAAATTGCATATGGTACTCTATGTAGCTGAATATTCCCAAAATGTTTTCCATATTTTACAGCTATGGTGTTAATTTCATGCCTCTGTTGGAAAAAGGCTTTTTTTCAGAACAGCAACAAGATCCAAAATGATGTACAGTTTATATAATAATGCTATGTGTGTAAATTATGTATAGAAGGCAGGTTTTCACTGCTGTCTGCCCGATGCTCCGTGACTCTAAATATAAATTAATTGCAAAGAGAATACATTAATAAGCTGCAGTGGGTGCAAAATGTGTTGCATTCTGTCTTTCTCAGAGGGAAGGTTTCAAGAACGTATATTAGCAGGCGTTTCTATAAGGGATGAGACGACCTGCTACAGCTCTTACAGTGCGTTGCATCACGGTCGCTCACTCTCTGATTGAACCCTCCCTGCTCCCCCTGAGCCTCTGCAGTACATGCTGCAGTCTGTCTCACTTCAGAGCCACTGATGCATACAGATGCCATTCACCAGCTGCTGGAGCCCTCTGAGGATCTTCCCCATTTATCACATTCAGTCCAATGCTTGTTTGAGTAAGACTTAATGCCTGCACTCCAGATAGAAGCGAAAACAACTAATCCCCTCTGCATTGCTATGGTTATTTTGTTGTTTCCTTTTCTGGGTACATTTTCTAAATCTAGTTTAACGAGGCAACTGTTGAGGTGAACATTTTTTGAGTTTCTTTCTTTAATGATTAGTTTTAGTGTCTGACTCACCAGCAGCAGGTTTTTTCAAGCACACTTATTACAGCCGAGCAGGGTGTGGACCAAAATATTAACTTTCATCTGTCTATGAAGCCCTCTGAACAGTGGGTGGGTGTGGTATGAGTGTGTGTGTTAGTGTGTGTGTGTGTGCATGAGTGAATTGCATGAGTAGTGTCTCTGTTCACTGTTACTCTTTGTCTATATGAGTGCAGTGAGGTTTTCTTCTAGCGCAACAGAAAATGAAGCCTCTCATAATGATTCCTATGTGAAATGACCGTTATGCGTCTTGCGGAGTCATTACGTTGCACCCTTTTGTGTGCACCAGGAGAAATTAGTCAGCCGATGACACTGGTAAATGGTGTGTCTAAGAAAGAAAGTGAAGGCATGGGGGTTTAAATGTCATCATATTTGAAAGCACACCACTGACTGTGCACTTTCACATGCAGCATACGAGGCATCACCTATAGTTTTAACTGCGCACCAGCAGTCCGGCTTTCTCAACTGCAGCTGTTTCCCTCGTGAAGTTGGCTTTAGTTTCCTTGACCTTTTCACTTTCAACAGTTTTTCCTCTCCATCCATCAGCTGTAGAGACCTTAAGATCTGACCGGCAAGTTGGATTTGTTATGATGTTTTAGTGGTTTCACTGTTATTCCCCACAGGTCAGCTTTGATGTTTCCTACTGTGGGCCATTTTCTCCTCCACGCCAAAACTGTAATGCGTCTCACATTACGAAGTCTCACTCATCATAGCAGCCAGGCTTTGTGAAGGATTGTAGTTTGCAGCCACTAAAGTTTCTTGCAATTCTTCTACAGCATTTACAATCAATTATAACCAAAAGGTCAAAGGTTGGGCGGTGTCAGGCATGTGGTGGCCTGTTCACCATGGTTAACGGGGCTCAGCGTCTTGACCCACGCGTGGAAAAGTTCAAGTCACAATGCCACAGTCGCAGATAGTGTTGCCTCCATTTTGGCTGATTTTATTTTTCACATTCAAAAAACATGGCAACATTGCTGAGTCTAATGTGAGTCAGTCAGTGCCCTGCTCTACCACCGCTTGTTGCATGATTGCTTATGTAAAATCTGTCCCACCACTTCATTCCGTCACCTAGAATAGATCTCAGAATTCAAACAGAAAATGCACGGAATCTGAAAATATACTTTGCAACATAAAAGAGCTCATGAATATCAGTCAAATCAGCATCATATTCCTTCATGTCTCTCCACGTGAAAGGGTTAATCTACATACAATCTACCTACACTGAATATCCACTAAATCAAATGTACCAACATACTGTAAACTGTGATGTCATGTAAATGAAACTGTGAGCTTTATCAAGTCAGAGGAGGTGTTGTTTCTATTTTTTCAATGTGGCCGACCATCACACTGAGACATGCTGGGGCCATTGGTGTATTTTCTCACCTCCAAGTTAAAATTAACGCTTGATGCCTCTCTCCCACACAAGTAGATATTATTACATTCACTCCGTCAGTCCAGGTGTTCCCCTGTGGTTTTGATACACGCTGACTGACAGTGTGACTGTGGAAAAGTCAAGGTGCATGTGATTCTAAACAAAATGGATGAAACTTGGTGGCAGAAAGACGTGATGGCTTAAACAGTCTTTTCATTATCAAGATGAGATATAAAAATGGAAATGGAACTTGTTTTTCTTCCTGATGCATTATTGATTTTTATTTACCTTCTGTAGAGCACAAGCATCAATAGACAGTGTTTTTCTTTGTCAGAGGATATCGCGCCCCTGTCTTCACTGCTTGACGCACTTCACACATGCACACGCTCATAGAGTCATTTCACACACGTGCACACACACACACACACACACACACACACTTAGGTGATGAGCGAAAAAAGAGATTTTGCAAAAGTCTAAATATGAAGCGCCAAGTAACACACTATAATCGTAAGGAATTCGTTGTGAATTTGCCACAACAGATGCTAAAAAGGAAAGTTTGCTCCATTGTGTAAATATGTATGGAAGCTCACCAACTTGATTTGCGAGCCTCGCTATTGTTCCCGCTAACAATTTGTTTTAAAAGCAGTGCCGTCCCATATTTTCATTCATTTCTTCATGAATGATGTTTCATGTTTGGCTGAAAGAAAGCGCTGCTGAGACAGAGGGAGGGGTGGTTGAGTGAGCAAGGGAGTCTGTGGCAGTGGGTGGAATGAAATTAGTCTAACATAAAAACAAATATGACAAGAGGCCCAGTCAGGACATTGCCCCATAATCCACTCTATGTTTATGAAAGCCTGTTTATTGTGTTCTCTGCTGAAAATGTTGTTATATTGAAAGTTTTCTATTAGAACAAGACTTAAAATCTATATTCCAGCAGCCCTGTGAGGCTATGACACTCTGTTGGATGGACAAAACAAAAGGAGAAAGACCTAAAAGAGCAGGGTTTACCCTCTGGTGTGCATTATAGTGTCAGTCTTTCATTTTAGAGATATCTTTTCATGATCACTGACCTGTTGGTGGTGCTGGATGAAAAGTCAGGGGATCACCAAAGTAAAGTGGATTCATCCTCCGATGTCTTTAAATATCCGGACATCTATCTAAAAGTTGTCGAGATATTTCTCTGTGACTCACCAAAGTCATAGTGGCAGCATAATCGACTGAGTTTGTTCCAGCAGGTCACTGTCGACGCCTCAAAAGATATTTGTTTTCTCACCCGCGGTCTTTCTGCTCGCTGTGTTACAGAGCAAGGACATCGGGATCCAGATGCACGAGGAGCTGGTGAAAGTGACGAATGAACTCTACACTGTAAGTAATGCTCTGCGTCTCCGACGCATCGATCTCTCACACCTCATCTCAGGGCCCATCCAAAGCTCTTTTTCCTCTCTTTCTCCCTGACATTTTATTTCATATTCTTTCTATTTTGTTCACTTTCTTGTGACCGTGCAGGCTGCTTTTAATTTCCTTGAGTGGGAAGGAAACAATTCATTTCAAAGTGATTTCTTTTACTTTTTTGTGTACCTGCTTAGACAAATGTGCATTACAATGATGGTAATTGATGAGTTGGGCAGTTGTAAATGATGAAATGGAACATTACAGTTCTCTCTCCAACTTTCTGGACTCAAATCACTCCAACATCTGGCGACTCCTTCAGCTGTGCTCCTGTTCAGGGTTCACGTCACTGGTTGTCTCTGTGGAGGCCTGTGAAATACCTGCCTGTCATAACACATGACTGCATCATTCATTAGACTGTGTGTGCATAATTAGTGATAGAGAGGTAGAGAGCTCTCGATGAAAAATAATCAGCAGATTACATAATGTGCATCTTGTTTCCATAACAATAGACAACTCATTCATTTTAGGTCACCAGCTCCAGCTCAGCTGCTTTGTTCCTATTTGATGCCGCCACTTTGCTTTGTTGTGGATAGTCAGTTACTATAATGACCAGTTTCTCCACTGGTACAACGTTTGCTTTATCTTTGTTGGCGTGTTGAAGCATTTCATTTGTTGGTAGCCAACAACGCTCACTTATCTAAAAAGCAGATTTTTTTTCATAGTTTCCAAACAGCCCATTTTTTTCATAGTGAGAAGCTCTTGGGCATCCTGCAGCTGCTTCCCATGTGTTTTCCTTTAAGAAAAAAAAAAAGAAGGTGGTGAATGGATATGTGGATGGATGTTTCCCAAAGCACTTATCGTCAAGTGGGATGGCTTTAGCTCATAAAAAAATCCCACATAATTAATATTTCATTGTGTTTATCATTCCTATTTGGATTAAACTGTCAATGGAGTTTTTACAGTCAAAGATCAGTACAACTTAATTAGAGGGCAGTATTAATGAGGGCAGTATGTCTGTACATTTCTCATTTGTGATTTTAAATGGGGTGTCAGCCCATCATGTCCTGTTGGTTCAACACTGTCAGATAACAGAACCAACAGGCTGTCACAAGTAACGATAAATGTTTCTAACTGACATCACTATAGCAGCAGTTTTTTTTTTCACTTTTGCCCCCTGTATCTACAACCATTTACATTCGTATTGTATTTGTTGAACAGTAATTGGTAATAACTGAATTCTTAATAATGGGATTTCCTGCACAAAACCCTGCAGATCGATGAACGTATGTCGGGGATCAGGACACACTGCACAAGTGCTGCACTTTTACTCAGAGAGGAGACCAAAAAACTGGACAAGCTCCAGGCAACTTCAGCAATCTTCTGTCCCCTGAGGTGAAACAGAAGAGATGGCAAAGCTGCCTTATATGAGTTATTCATATGTGCAATGTGATGAGAGTCAAACTACCAAAGGGCAGTATTGGCAACTCTCCCTGATCCTGCCATCTGTACATTTGGATGCTGAAACAGGCAGCGTTATGGGGAGCATGTGTTCATCAAAAGGGCACAAACAGTATGTTTATTACGTGTATATATATCTAAAAGGACTGTGCTATTGTTTAAATACCTTGGTAGACTAACCAAGGCTGCTACTCTATACACTTGGCAGTTCTTATGATAAATAAAAATGCAGTTATTCTCCCTTGTCAGAGGATTATGCCTGCCAGTCATTTCCAGTTTGGTTTCCAGTGTCAGAGTGTATCTCAGGTTCACCCTAGCATCCAGAATCACTTGGGAACAAATCATTACTCTGTACTTTCATACTTTTTTGCTATATATTTGTTTCAGCCACTCTCCGCTCTCTGGCTCAGGACAATGCTGCATAATAAAAGTCAGATGGTCCCTCCTCTCAGGCCCTGCTTGGCCTCAGCTGCTGTCTGGCTGAAGATTAAAAATCCAAATGTGGATGTATAGCCTACTTCTCCCCATATACTGTGTGAGAAAGGTTGTGGGAGTTGTGAGAAATTCACAGCTAAGGTCAAAAATGTGTTGCTGCAATAACACAAATTATCCTTAGTTAATAAAACAAAGACATTTTTGCTTCTTGTTATTTTCTCTCTCTAATTACCCATTGCATTGTGACTGTACTTGAAAAGCGTTTCCTGTTTTTGTCTCTTTTTACACGATTTCTTCCCCTTTTTTTTTCTATTGACTTTTTTGTTTATGAACCTCAGCGCAGGCTCTAAGGTTGACAGATATTTATATTGATTGTTCTCATTAAGCTGCCGTTGTGAAGCTCCGTGGAACCAGCTGTAATTAACCACCGTGCAAATGAAGTTGACTTGGGATGGGATATTCCCAGTTACCACCATAAGATTTGTACAGTTTGACAATGCACAGACAGGCAAAGTGGCCTGAAATGCTCCACAAGTAATCTGAATTCACGTCATGATGGCCCTCGGGCAGCAGTAAGTCTGACTGTTGGAGGAAAAAAAAGTATTGTTTTTCATTACTTCTCCCTTGTTAGCATTTGATTGTACAGAAATAGCTAAATCAATAGCGTGGCCACATGGTGATTGCCTTGTGGTATTTTCTAACAGTTTTCACTGGCTGCCAACAAAACAATTTTTCCTGAAAGAAAACTGTGAAATCCCATTTGGATCCCTGGCTGCTCAGTGAGACATAAGGGAGAGACGTACGACTGTGAGCTGAAGCTATTATTCAAATATTGTTCAAAGTATGACTGCAGCAGCAGAAGCAGCAGCAGCAGCAGCAGAGGTATTAATGAGAGTGAAGATCTTGTTGTCTGTGGCTTTTGTCAGTAGCACTGAGTCTGAAATGAGAAAGGGGAGCGAAGGCCTGAACGTCTGAGCAGTCAGTCACTTCCTAACGTTGCTTGGGGCAACATGGCTCTGTGAAATTCAAGTTTTCTTTGCTTCAATCTGTGTTCATTTCCTGCTACATCGACTTAATTTCCCCACTGGGATCAATAAAGCTTTAGCTTATCTTATCTCTCTGATCGGCCACCTTGAGTCTGCTGTCTGCGCTTCAGTGTCATACACGGTTATTCTTTTGTTAACGGCTACGACACTGACTCTGAAACTCCTGTAACAGGCGAGGGTGATGGAGTAGCTTTCATTCATTTATTAATTCGTTTATGAAGTCACTGATTCATGGCGACAACATGCAAGTCATGAAAAAGAAAGAGTCTTAGCTTCTGCACATCTGGACATTTAAGAAGAATCTCAGCATTAATTATTCATACACAAGCAGGATCAATAGTTATATTAACGATCTTGTTATGATTTTTGGTATCTTATTACCTTGAATAAGTTGTTCCTTCCTCATGTTTTTGCCCTTGTGCCATTCACCATATAGGTCGCTCTGATTTTCATAAGCCCCCTTATGGCAGATTTCTTTTTACATGTGGTCAGAGGGGGGAATATTTTGAGGTGAAAGAGAAGAGGGATGATATGAAACAAAGTTCAGCACCACACTAGCCTTGAGAAGTTTTAAATTTATAATGAATAGAAGTATCTACCTTGCATTCATTATGAAAACCTCCAGCCATTCTCTCCCTCCTGGGTTTCTTTCACCAGCTTAGAGACTGTGCTCAGGCATCAAATAGCCCTAGGCTGTCGTCAGAGGACACGACTATGCACACACCTCCTGTAGACACAGCTGAAGCTCAGTCTTCCTGCAAATTACTTTGTGTCTTTAGCTGCAGGTCCTGCAGTCAGATGGTTCAAAGTTGGCTAGAAATCTAGCACGTATTCATAGGAATTTGAAAGAAACAGTTTGAGTGCCTGGGGAGGAACAGGGAGTTAGCCTAGTTTCTCTCTTCGTGGAGTAGCTACATCGATGTAGGCTCTGTCACTCTGAGAATAGATCCGTGTCTTTTATTCTATTTATTTATTTTACTTCTCAGGTGTTTGCCTTAGAGCTCTTTGTCACTCTGTTGTTCTTGTTGTTCCTGCACTGCCTGGAGAGCAGAGGTATTTTTTCCATCACAGACAGGGGAATAAATAGAGGCTGTTCAAGTGGCAGCACTTGTAAATATTACTATCACAGGGTTTGAGGTCAGTGGAAGATTATAGTTGCGAGTAACCCAACAGCAAACATGTGATTTTGATGAGTGGCACTCATAGAGATAAAAGGAACCCTACTGCTCAAGCGCAGCACCGGGTGAGCATTACTGACTTGATCACAGGATACAAATAAATGCCTGTTTGTCTTGATTGTCTAACATCCTGAGGTGTTCGTAGAAAGTTCTGAATGCTCGAGACGTTTGAAGACGCACCTCACATCTGGACGTTCCTTTACGAGGCCTGAGAATGAGCCTCTAAGAGGAGAGACTTTCTCAATGAGCATCTGGGACGAGTTAAGAAAGATGCAGGATGCTTCTGTCTTGTCTAATGAGGGTTTTCTGTCACTACAGTCTTGTCATCACCGTGTTGGAGTAGGGTGGAGAGGTGTCTGTGTCAAAATGTGAGTGACTAAGAGGAGATCAAAGTGAAGAGGAAACTGCAGAGAGCACAGAAAACAATGCTGTCACTCTGCTGCACGAAAGAGCTGACAATGAACAGGCCCTGGGGTGATGAAGAGCTACAGTAGAAATGACGTATAGGCCAGGAAAGCCACAGTGAGCGGGGAGTGAAGTGGGTGAGTTGAAGAAGTGACGGCCAAGACTAAACCACACACAACCCTGGGCCCCTGGATCCACTTAAAATATTCCACATGTAGTGACATCTGTGTTACGGCCGTATTGACGGCCCAAATTGATCCACCAAGCCACCATGAAAAGGCTCAAAGCAAACCAGATTTTTGGAAGAGGAGCGCGAGGCCTGTTTTCACCTTATTTTCTGTCACATCTCAGAGGTAACAGTAATGTTAAAGCAAGTCAGTACACAGGTATAGGTTGTTTTGTAAATGGACACATGAGGACAAAAGCACATGTGTTTTTGTGGAATGTTTTTTGGAGTTTGGCCAAAAAAGACACGTGTTCAAGCCTCTATATAATAAACAAGACTTGAGTAGTAAAAACAATATCCACGTCTCAAGTCGATCCAAATTTAAAAACAGACTCAGAGCTGGTGTCCACCTCAGATAGTGAGTCAGAGCTTGTTTACGTGTCCTTTTTACGATTCCCAGCAGTGGCCACCTCCACATATTAATGGCTAGCTGCCCCCTGGTAAAAATACTAATGATGCCTTTCTACTACAGGTTTCAGACAAATCCCATACAGCACAGTCTGTTCACCATGTATTATTTTCTATAGGCCTGCAACTAACAGTTATTTTCATTATCGATCAATCTGCTCTTTATTTGCTTGATTAATCAATTCATTTTTAAGTGTATAAAATCTTTTAGAAAATAACTATGTCTAGATTAGCTGGTTTTGTTTCACCAACAGATATTCAGCCTACTGTTATATGACAAAGAAAAGGAGCCAGTTCTCACATTTGAGAAGCTGAAACCGGAGAATATTTGTCATTTTTGCTTGAAAAAAAAACTGAAACGATTAACTGACACGGCTAGCCGATTAATTTTCTGTCAAAGTGAATATTCAACTAATTGTTGCAGCTCTAAAAAAAAAAAACCTCCCCATCCATTTGGATGTGACTCCCTGAGCAACCGTTGCACCTGTATTTGCTTCTCTCAGCCTGTGGGCTCCTGTATGTACTGTAGATAAAATCATAGTATCCTGTTCCTTCAGCATGTGATGGCCTATATGGTAAAATGTGATGACAGTAAGCCCAGTTAATGGTCAGTCTATCAAATATCTGTCCCTCTTCCCCTGCAGGTGATGAAAACGTACCACATGTACCACACTGAGAGCATCAGCGCAGAGAGCAAGCTGAAGGATGCAGAGAAACAGGAGGAGAAACAGTTCAGCAAGTCAGGAGATCTCAACGTGAACCTGCTGCGCCACGAGGACCGCCAGCCAAGACGCAGCTCCGTGAGGAAAATTGAGAAGATGAAAGAGAAGGTGAGTATGTCTAAGATAAGACAAGTGTTGTGTTCGCATACACGTGTGGTTCTGTTTGGCTTGATAAAAGTCCTGAGTCATCAGTTCAGCGCTTAGGTTAGATAAGACCTTTTAATCAGCTTTTCCTCAAAGCTGAATGATGAGGTTAAAAGAGTCTAGATTTATAAGTGGAGAATCAGCTCTGTTTGTTGTCAGAAAACTCTCAGGAGCGTACTGTTAGGTCTGCACTCCTAGCCAGTAATCCAACTCTCCAACTTTCCATCTTAAGTGCAGATTTCTAGTTTGCTTAAGTCCCTGGTGTTCTCTGGAGAACATTGTACTTTAGACCCACCTATGCATTTGTTATTCTGGATCTCCTTCCTTGAATTTCCTCATGCAAATGAAACCACCATTATCTCTCAGGTGCAGGAAATCAAAAGGCTGTCAGGGCGACAGCGTTTCTCCCTCTTCAAGCTGGTATCCTCAGAGATGTTGCTTGGCTTGGGAACCGAACACTATTTATAGCACAACGTGGCAATGAATGTTCTTCTTTCTCCCTGTGTCTTCTTCTAAGCTCTTTGTCTCATTACTCCGCCTGCAAACAGGTTGGAAGAGGAAAAGGAAGAAAAAAAAGTTAATCTCTTTTCCTCTAACCCACCACTGAAATTTGCATCATAATGGCTTTGTGAAATTGGAAATAAAATGCCCATGACTACTGAAATGTACGAATAAACAATTTAAATAATGGGCAAAAGTCTCTGCTTTAGAATTGTGATGTTGTAGTTGTTTTTCAAACAGCAATAATGTTGTTCTGAGACATGTCTGAATCATTGTGTTGCTGAAGTAGTTTTGTCAATACTGTTTAGCACCACTGAAATACTCTTACTTCCTTTACTTATTTGTATATATTCATTCTGCAAATACACCCACATAGGTTTCCAACCATGTTAGTTAAACTTGTATGACACAAAGACATTAAGAGTAGAAATATGCAGTCTGTGAAAATATTTTGTAAATTGACATTTTGGGAAATATACTTTGTTTATTAACATTAGCTGAGAAGATTGATACCACTTTCGTATATGATAATGAAGCTGGAACCAGCAACCAGTTATCTTAGCTTAGCATCTTTATGCTAAGCTAAGCTAACCGGCTGCTGGTTGGGGGAAACAGCTAGCCTGGCTGAGAGTGGTATCAATCTTCTCATCCAGCAAATAAGTGTATCTCCCTGTTGAACACCTAATAAACATATAAAAAAAGTACAAAATTTAAAACTACACGACACACAGAAATCTCAGCATCCACATTCTGCAGCCTCTGGTACTGAAGTGTTGAGAGACTGAATAATGACTAAACACAAGCACGGCTGTGGCACCTTACACGTTACTATCTAGAGGAAGCTTCTCTAGAGCCTGTTTCTCCAAACTTTCTCTGCCATCTCTTCCTGTCTGACGGTCCCAAAGCTGCGGCTGCCTGAGCACACGCTCAAACCCTCCCTACTGCTTGATTTTCCTGCACTAATGTTTTTTTTTTTTTTTTTTTCCTTCATCTGCTCTGTCTCTTCTCTCCTCCCCAGAGGCAAGCCAAGTACTCAGAGAATAAGCTGAAATGCACAAAAGCCCGGAATGACTATTTGTTGAACCTGGCAGCAACAAATGCAGTTGTGGCAAAATATTACATCCATGACGTCTCTGATATGATTGATGTAAGTATGCGCTAGGCACATGTGTTTGTTTACACCTCTCAGCTGGGATTTCTCATGTTGATTTAACTCTGCAGCACTGTCACTTTCCTCACCATCTGTTCCTGTGTCTCATTCACTCTCAGCCTGTTAGCTGTTTGTTTCCAAGCTGCTCTGTTGGCCCCAATAAATGTATTTACCATTGTTTTGTTTTTTTTAATCATTATTAATTTCTGCTTAACAAACTGAACACTGATACGCTGGTGAGTCGTGACTTGAAAATGAGTTTAGTTCCATGCAGCTACAGAAGGATATTTTTGACTGGATATTTCATTCATTTGTTTTTGTTGATGCTGCTTTGGGGAGTTTTGCTGTGACAAACACAGCATGTCCTTGTGATTTTCTGCTTCTAACTGTCTCCAAGGAAAAAACATTACCCAAGACACACACACACACACACACACACACACACACACACACAAACACACACACACACACACACACACACACACACACACACACACACACACATACATATTCTCTATTGTCTGTCCCTCTGTGGTTTCTCTTTTCATGGATCAGAGTAGAGGAAGCAGCCTTTCTAAAAGTGACTCAAAAAGCAGTAGGTGTTTTATTTTAAGTTAACACTACAATAGTCCCTGTTTTGTATGTCCTGAATTGCGAGGAAATCTGACAACAAAAAACCTACGTACAGCACTTGAATATGAACTAAGTGTTATGCAAATTATGAAGCAGCCGCACTGCTGGAAAGTCTGATTAGCAGTGTTTAAAAGGATGACTGTGTCTAGCAAACCACTAATGGTTGGAAGTCGGTCAAAGTCGGCTGGTGAGCAGAGGCAGTGTTTACTGAGGCTTGAATGTGCTTGGCACTGAGCTCTCAGCCTTGGGTGACCTGCTCCCAGTCACCCTGCAGACAAACAGATGAAGATTAAGATGAAGAAACCTCTGTTGACCATTTTACATAATATCATTGGAAATGCTCTGGATCTGTTCCTTTTACTGCAGAGACTCGCGCAAACAGCTCCCTCTTCAGGGAGGTGATACTTTTTGTGTTGTCTGCTTTCTTCATTCATTGTCATTGTACATGTCATTGCCCAAAGCTTTGAACTAGTTCATTTTTTCCAGTGTCCCCCAGTTTTTTCTAGTCTTCACTGAAGGTTTCAGGAATCAGTAATACTGTTTTCTAAAGCTGAATCAAAATTAATTGTTTGAGTCATTCTTCAAGCAATTGCTAACCTTCTGTTTAATATCATTGTAGTCATGGATATTTGTGAGTTTTGAGCTGTTGGTCAATCAAAACAAGACATTTGAAGACGTGACATTGGACTCTGAAATAATCGATCAGAACTAATTTATGACGAAAACCATCCTCAGTTGCAGCTCTAATCTGCTGTAGCCTGTGCCACACAGTCTACGTAGTTGTGCTACCTATTCATGTCTTTCCCAAAATGTCATTGATTGGTGATTTGTGAAAACCAAGGTTGCCCTGTAAAGCCATACTTACTTAACAAAGGCCTATATTACATTGGAGGACTTACATGACTAATCGCGTTGAATGTTGGTTTTGTGGTCGAGGAAACTTTCATCTTATGATCTGATGTGAACCTGTCAGCTCCTCAGTCTTCCTGTTCTTGTTTCTTCCCCCTGCTCTCTGTGATTATGGCCCTGGTTGTCAAATATTTTGCTTGAGGCCTCACCACATTAGCCACAGTGATAGATGCACATTTTCTGGTCAGGCATGATAAGATCTGATTTCAGTCAGACTTCTACAATATAATGATCATTACTTGGGATTTTAAACACTTACACTTCGTATAGTATGGTAGATTACTTTAGACAGATTGTGGCTAAACCTGTCTCAGGCTATATGCAGTGTGAAGGTGATATGTTGGTAGTAGCTGGACATCCTCAGACCCTGATTCATAGCTATCCCTGCCTCTTTGCTGGGCAGCTTTCATGGATCCGCTGAAAGGTCCATGTCATCCCAAATCCTGCTGAGCCACAGGGAATGGGATTGTGAGCATGACTCGTTTGACTGTCAGAGTCACAACCCACCACACATCAAACCAGACGGTCGTGCAGCGAGAAGTCGGCTTTGTCAGTCGGCATCACTGACTTTTAAACTGTTTGGAGGGAGATTTATAACATGCTGAGTTTACCTTACAACCCTACAACTCTACAATTACACTGCCTGGAAATGATGAATGCTGTGAAGAGTGACGCTGGTCAGTGCTGTCAGTATGATTAAAATATTTAAGCTTGTAACAGGAAAATAAGATTAATTTGTTGAAAGCTAAATTACTGTAGCCCAATGGAAAAATAACATTTTTGCAGCAGAAAGCAAGAAAGTAGAATATAACAAGAATTAAAAAAATTATGATTATGTATGATTTACATTCGTTGTGGTCAGCTAACATTAGTGCATGTGAATGAAACAAAATGCAGCTAGTGTAAACGTGAACATTTAAAAAAATAAGTTGATTCCATATATAATAAATGCCAAATATTTGCATATTTTAGTGTTAATATAGTACGTGTACACCTACTGTTTGCATAGCTCCAATGAAATGGATGAGAATACTAAAAGCAAAGCAGTCAGCAGCATCTGCATTAATGGTGCATCTGATCTTCCCTCCCCCGATGCTTTGCTCCTACAGGCTGCTGCTGCAGATATGAATATGATATGTGATCTCACTCGGTTTGTTTGTTTAAAAAAAAGCTAATTTAGTCCCTTTAGTCTCCAGTCTGCTGAGCCACTTTGACTGAGTAGTGCAATCAGGGTTGCGCACCAAAGTAGAGATACTACTTCCTCAGAGCTTAAAGAGCGCTAAAGAGCGTTTACTTAGTGATTCACAGAGCTGTCAGTTGCCTCAAGCCTCCCTCTAAACCTCCTCACCACCGTCCTCTGCTTAATTAGGTTACTTCATACAGCTCGGTGTGATAAGGCTCTGTAATTATCCCTGGTGTCCTACTGTGCCAGCTCCTGTAATTCTGTGAACTTTACTTCTATTTTTGAAAGGTAACCTGTATGCCTGGATGTAATTTGGGATTTAGTCCATGAACTAGGTCTGATCATGACAGAAGGTCCTCTAACTAACAGACTTCACAACACAGATTTGCCCTTTCACATGCTTCCTCATTCTCTGATGAGTTTATGTAAATTATGTTAAAAGAGCGACTTAACACCAACTAAGAATCTTGTTTTATCGGTTGCCAGTGGTTTAACTTCCCATCTTGCTGCAGTGATGTAAAAGTGTACTTTAGGGTGCGGTCAGTACACTGTGACATCACGGTTCTGACCACACCCAACCATACCTGGCAGAAACAGACCTGAGAGGGCAGAGAAACACTGTTTTTCGGTCTGGTTACTTAAGTTAAAAATCAATGCAGACAGTATTTTCCCTGATTTCTATTTGCCCTTCCATCTCCACATTTACAAAGTGTCCTTTTTTTTTTCTTGTTACTTAAAATATTTTATCTCTATAGTGCTGTGACCTCGGCTACCATGCCAGCTTGGCACGCACCTTCAGGACCTACTTATCTGCCGAGTACAACTTGGAGACGTCCCGCCACGAGGGACTGGATATCATAGAGAATGCAGTGGACAACCTGGACTCTCGCAGTGACAAGCACAAGATCATGGATATGCATAACCAGGTGTTCTGCCCTCCGATGCGCTTTGAATATCTGCCACACATGGGAGATGAGGTGAGATGCTCCAAATGCCACAGCTCTCATTAAAGATTTGTTTCTGTTACCACTGACTGAGAATATTTTTTTGTGTTTGTTATAAAGATGGATCTATTTTGTGTCCATGTGTCCTCCTCCTCCTCCTCAGGTGTGCCAGGTGAGCGCCCAGCAGCCTGTCCAGACTGAACTCCTGATGCGCTACCACCAGCTGCAGTCTCGCTTAGCCACGCTAAAGATTGAGAACGAGGAGGTGAGGATTCATGATGGTTCTGTCTGTCCAGCACCCCCCCCCCCCACCCCCCCCGCCCCCCCGCCCCCCCCCCCCCCAAAAAAAAAAAGAAAAACAGAAAGCCCTGTCTCATTTTCCCCAGAGCCAAGTGGGAGGGCCACATCACCATCTGTTCTCATTGCAATTACTCTTCAATGACCCTTGCTCTGCAGGAGCTGAGAATATATTTGGATTATCACAGCGCCAATGTTGTGTTTTCTGTGAAGTTATATATGAAATTGTCTCTTTTATGATGAAGAGAGGGCTTTCTCATTAACAACAACAGACAGAAAGGTGCAAATGGAGGTGATAATAACCGAGGCCTGCTATACTTGCCTGTGCCAATAGCTCTGCCTCTTCCCCCGTCTTCCTGTGTCGCGTGTTCTGGAGTATAATGGACGAGCCATGTCATCACTGGAAATGAGCTTTATCAATCTCAGCCCTAAACAAAAAGCCTCCTTCAGTAATTTCACATGCAATTTGTGTCTCTGCCAGACAGTCTTCATTTTCAGCTCTTACTGTGATGTATGTCTAACCTGGGGGTTTGTTCTTGACTTGTCTTCTGATGCTGCTTGGTGTCATTTCGGTGCAGTCCAAGGTCATTTATTGTTCAGGGGTCGATTTGTCAATGATATAAATATGCTAGAGCTGTAAGTCAATCACTCTCGCCCTTGAGAGTGTCATCAGTTGCTCCTGTTCCATCAAGGCTTGCGTGGAAAACAAGTAGCTTTTACTCTCATGAAAAGGAAACATGTAAGATATGATGCTTCCGCCTGTGCAGGTGAGAAAGACCTTGGATGCCACGATGCAGACGCTGCAGGACATGCTGACTGTGGAGGACTTCGATGTGTCGGACGCCTTCCAACACAGCCGCTCCACTGAATCCATCAAGTCTGTGGCCTCCGAGTCCTACATGAGCAAGCTGAACATAGCCAAGAGGAGGGCCAACCAACAGGAGACAGAAATGTTCTACTTTTCAGTGAGTTCGTGTCAATTTTGGAAATTTTTAATGGCTAACCAGCGATGAAATCTAACTTTGCGCCGCTTTTCAAAATCAAGCCATCAGTCATCATTTCCACATGCTCTGAAAATAGAAATTAAATTAAAACTAGAACAGATTGAATTTATGCTGATTTGAGCCTCGCTGGATTGTTTGACTGGGTTCCTGTTACACTGGATTAGTGCTGCTCTTCACTCACTGCTCCCTTCATCTCTCTGTCTGTCTAGAAATTCAAAGAGTACCTGAATGGCAGTAACCTCATCATTAAGCTGCAGGCCAAGCATGACTTACTGAAGCAGACACTGGGTGAAGGTAAGGAGTCTTTTCTCTTCATCTCTCCTCAATATCTCCGGTGTCTTTTAATGTTGTGTGCCTGACCCGCTGTTTTTATCCTGTAATTATGACCTGCACAATCCTGTCATAGCTCTATAAAATCACTGCCTACAGGGCTGGTGGTGGTGGTGCAGGTCTTATCAAATAAGCAGCGGGGGAATGAGGTATGGAGGCTACAAAGACATTTTTTGTAGGGAGGAAAGAGGAAATGAGAGTTGATATTCAAATGGAAAACTATCACACCAAAAGCAGACAACATCTACTTTGAGGTATCAATTCTCCTCTCTACTTATCTCCACTGGCTAAAGCGTTATCCGGTTAGTCTCTATGTGGTGTAGGAGGGAAGGGTTCCCATTTCCAGGCTCTAACAAGAAAGACTTCCCTCAGCCCCTCCCTTCCCCAAGGGTCCCCTTGTCACCTCAGGCGTGAACAGTTTACGCCCAATCAATCAGCAGGAGCAGGCCCAAGCCCATTTCTGCAGCTGCTCCTGCATCAGGGGTTCACCTAATAGAAAAGGGCATCAGACGCAGACAGCTGAGACCTTGCAGCACACATGCATATTTCCAGATCTCACACCTTGGATTCATTCATTCATTCAATAATTCATTCATTCATTCGTTTATTCCTGTCCTCTAATATAATTTATGTTGCCTTTGTGGGGCCCGCAGGATCTCTCCTTGTTGTTCCCCTCTGGGCTCTGCGGCGAACAACCAACTTCATGCTGTGGCACTCTTAAAACACTCTCACATTATAGTTCATCTCAGTCTCTGGACAGATCTGTTTGTTTGTCCACGATGGTGCAGCTGAGAGAGTGTATGAACGCAGCATATGGCGTCTCCAGGTACCACCCATGTTTAATTATTCAGGTGATCAATCAAGGGCTGAGTCGTGCTCATTAGCTCGTTGCTCCACGCGCGAAATAGCGTGTTTGTGTATGTGTGTGGTTGTGTGTGAGCATGACAGAGGGGAACAAGATGAGACTGGTGAGTGCCACATGGCGTTTACATCTTGCTGCATGTATTAATAAAAACATAATGTCAAGCTTTGGCACCAGACAATATGGTGCTAGGATATCTGCCAGCCCTTGTTTCTCAGATAAGGAGGCACCAATCCCCTTGCTCAACAAATTTGATTTGTGCTTGTCACCTTTGATGTTTATAGAACAGATACTGTATCTCCTCTGTCACTGAGGGACTCTGGCACTTTTGGATATGAAATTAGGGGGTGAACCAGCATAGACTTTTCTTTTGCTCATGCTTGAGAAACTGGGTGTAATTTTGAGGTTGGTTGGTCAGAGGTAGACAGGGCTATCACTCAAAGGAATGATGTCTGGGAAACGTGCTGTTGTTTCTTCACATGAATGCTCCAGAAACCTTGTCCCATCTGTCAGAAGGATGTGTTGAGAAATGGGTTAGCCTTTGCTCTTTCTGTCCATTGTTAGGTGGAGTAGAGAAATAATGTTCGAATGCTTTGGTGCCATTGTTGCCCTTCCAGTTGATAATCCAGTCACTGCCGGACAAAGACACAGTCTTCCTCTGAGTTCATAAGGAAACCCTGGGTCATCTTTTATATGACTTCATTTACAAATCTGTTGTATTCTGTTTTAGCATTTCTGTTATCATAAGCGGAAAGATAAACTTCCATGTATCCTTAATTGGTCACAAACAGTGCGATGGAAGCTATATTACCCTTAGAAATGCTCAGACTATTAGCCTATACCATGTGCGTGTGTTGTGAGAAACCCACAACAAAAGGCTCAGTGAGCCAGCACAGACATTGCTCAGTGTCAACACTGATGCACCCCTCCCTCCCCAACATACACACACTGCAGCCGCCAGGCCCCTCTTTCTTTACTCTGATAGGAGGCCTGTAACCCCACGGGGTCCTCCGGGTCCCCTGAGGATTCAGCAACGACTGCTCAATAGCTTTGTCCAATGAATGGCTTTAGCACTGCTCCATTCATCTCACCCTCAATGGTCATGTTGTCTCTCATCAAACCCCTCACCGAGGCTGGACACTGCAGTCTGCATAATATGTACCATAAAGATATAACATGTCCCTCTCATGTTTTTTTTTCCACAGGGGAGAGGGCTGAGTGTGGGACTACAAGGTAAGATCTCCTTTGATAAGTGAGCTGCTTCTGATCCCTGCCTTTCAGCCACAGAGCGTCTGCTCATTCCATTCATTTCAGACTTGAATTCTGCTATAGAATAAAAAAAGACGAAAGCACACCTGTAATTATTATTATATAATTGTAAAAAATATTCTATATCTTATAAATATTTTGTATTCAATTATATTGCATGGCTTTCCAGTTGCTGTCACTGATGTCTAAATAAATGCCGTATTTAGTATGTTATGTACCATACTGCAAAATGAAAAGGTACAAATTGGCAGTGGTTTTAAAGTTGCTGTTGTCCTTTAGAAACAAACATATTGTTATTGTAGCTTCTTGACAAATGGTTTCCATAAACATTTAAATAACTTTTAGCTGTACCCCCCCCACCCCCCCATACTTCTCAAAATGACTTGTGCTTGCACATATCTGTGTACATATGCGTGGTTTTCTAATGTTGGATAAAGTATTTGCAGCATTTTATAATTTTGATTATTAATAGAATAACATAGGGATACATCAAATTATATTCTAAGAGTCAGCAGGATTCACATGCCTATATAATGTGTTTGGATTGCTTGTTCCATGCAGTTTCAATTTTTGAACGACATAAAATATTAACTGGTGGGATTGATTCCATTAGCCTTGTTTTTATTGTTCATTTATCTGTGTTTTGTTTTTAATTAGTCAAGAAAGGCATTTTGTTGAAGATCCAGTGCTAAAGTCTTGCACATTCCAACCACAGTAATTAAAGAGCTGACTTATCTGGCTGTAATGATAAAAGACCTCTTTAATGAAATGTCTCCCTTTGGGTTTTTTCAATTTTTCACTGAAGATTTTTGACTTTTTCTGTTACTTTTCCCAAAATGAAGATTCTTTCATTGTGCTCTTTTAGCGACTGTTTTTTCATACCTGTTTCTGAGCCACATATGGTTCGACTGTTTCACAGAATACGGTGTTTTTGTTCCCTTTGTCCATCATTTCCCAGGCCCCCCACCCTTCCCCCTAAACCACAGAAAATGCGGAAGCCTAGGCCACGCTCCGTGTATAACCATAAGCTGTTTAACGGCAATATGGAGACCTTCATCAAGGTACCCTCTGGTGGTGGTGTATGACTGAGCCTGCCCCTGTGGAGCAGGAGGGGAAGGCAGCTAGAGCCTTCGCTCTCATTCTCTTCCTCACTTTGGCCTTCTGTTCCTCCCTCTTCCAGCTGCCCTTGATCATGATATAACGCCTCTGTTTAACCTCTAATCCTCCTCCTCCCTTCCGTGGTTCTGCCGGTGCAGACAGACAGAGCGGCAGTCAGCTGTCTCTTCATTCCCCGCCAGAACAATTTACCATCTCTAGCTTTATTTCTAAATCCAGTAAGTCTTTGGATGACTTTGAAGCAGGAGACAGCAGTGGGTCTGCTTTGTCCCTCACTGCACCCAGTCCTTTACTGCATCTCCATCTTACTGCATTTCCTATTGCCAGTCCCTGTGCTTAGCCTTCTTTAACCTCCAGAGGTGTCATCTGTCATCTGAGCTTTTCTAACTTTGTGCCTCTCTGCCCTCTCTTCCTGTGCTTCTCTATGCTTTGCTGCTTTCTGTCCCAGAGGAAGAAGGAATGCCCGTACCCGCATTCAGGTACCTCTGTTGTTAGAGTATGTAGCTCACGGCACAAAACTATTGGACTAATCGTAATAATTTACTTGCTACTGCTTCAGCTTCACTTGCTTGCTGCTAGTTTTCTGTCTTTATTCTGCAGCATCACATTATAAATAACAGTATTGTATTGTTCTGCTACTGTTTGTATTATGCTCCTCCTGAGATTTGCTTAAAATAATGTTTATGAGCTTTTTTCTTTTTTCTTTTTGTGGTATGATGGAGCATTAGCCTGCTTCTATATCGTGTCTCTTTTTGTTACCATAAACCACAGCAGTGGTTCTCTTATTCCTATATTCCAAAGTTAGTACTGCATGTTTGATACCTCGTCAAGACATTGTATAATTTATAGCAGTATAAAAGTAACACGCAATACTGTATATTATTTAATATCTTAGCTGAGTGTTGCCTTTTGCTATTATATGTCTTGCCTTGTCTCTATTTTAATATGTTTCCACATTATTTAATTTCAGGATTCAGGTCAACCAATTCCACTTGTTGTTGAAAGCTGTATCCGATACATCAATTTATACGGTAAGTTTCACATTATGTTGCTGTGACTACTACTTTCTGAGTGAAAGGGCAGAAAACGAAAGCAAACTATGAAGTCATTTGAAAACTCCTTCAGCCACATAAGAAGTGACAGCAGCTATCGGAGAAGGCAATCTATTTCCACAAATAGCCGCAGGTACAGAGACTGACCTGCTCTGCTCTGCTCTGCACCTCGGTCTCTGAGACACTCAGCTGCCTGCCAGTGATTTGACAAGCTCATAACAATAGATCACACAGGGAGAGTTTTGAAAGTACCATAGGTCTTTGTTTAGTCAGTTCAGCCACCCTCCCACCCTTTTTTATAACTCCTCCCTGTCTACCTTCACATCTGTCTTCAGCTCATTGCTGTAGCCTGCGGGCCTTTTCCCCTGGATCTGGACCTAATGAAACTCCAGAAAACTGATTAGGAACCCTCTAACTGAAACCATATGCTGCAGCCTCACTGAGGGGCCCTCTCCTGGAAAAATACGCATCTCCCTTTATGACTAGATTACATTTCCTGCTCTGTGTTATGTGTTTCCAATGGGCTTTCACGAAACTGGCACTGGGGTTTGTAGATAATGACAGGTAGCATAACACTGAATCTGTAAATTCTGGGTTGTATTTCTTTCAGGGTTGCAGCAGCAAGGCATATTTCGCGTGCCAGGATCTCAGGTGGAGGTCAATGATATTAAAAACTCTTTTGAGAGAGGTGAGTCAAAGATGGCTTTATAGCCCTTGTTTTCATGTCACAAATACGTAAACGAGATAAAACCCATCTGACACATTTTCAGCTCATCCAAAACCACCGCTGAAAGCATATATATTGTGCATTCTTAAATCAGGTGAAGATCCCTTGATCGACGACCAGAACGAGCATGATATTAACTCAGTGGCAGGGGTGCTGAAGCTGTACTTCAGGGGACTGGAGAACCCTCTCTTCCCAAAGGAGCGGTTCCTGGACTTCATCTCTACCATCAGTGAGTCGAGCACAACAGGAAACGTTCAAAGCAATCACCGCTGCGAGTGGCTTGCTCAAATAGGAAAGAGAAAACACACCTTGCAGTTTCTTAGAGACTCAGCTTTACTGTAGAAGAGAAAGGCATTCAGGGCAGCACATGGAAGCAATCTTAACACCGGGGCTCTCTGCCTGATATTTAACAGAAAGCCAGCAGGAGGAGGAGAGTGCGGGCCACATCGGTTTGCCATCTACGAGTTCACCGCAGAATCATTTCTCCCAGAGTGCAAATTATACAATGACAGTCAGGGGGGTCAACTTTTTCTCTGGGGCGAAAGGGAGCCCAGTACGGCGCAGACACGTGCTTCAATGAGCTGAAAGTATTACAGTCCTTACAGTATCTTGCTTCTTTAACTAAAGTTGTCAAATGAATGTAGCGGAGCAGAAAGTACAATATTTCCCTCTGAAATGTAGAGTGGAAGTATGTAGTGGGATAAAATGGAAATACTCAAGTAAAGTACAAGTACCTCAAAATTGGACTAAAGTAAGCTACAGTACTGAGAGTAAATGTACTGACGACAATTACTATTGACGCGTATTCTAATAATTACACGACCAGGTAAAACCCCTGTGTTCCTGAGTGAAAACAAAGGAGGTGCCTATTATAAAAGTTAATATCAAAAAGGTAAAAGACTAACCAAACCACCACAGCCAGAGATGTTCAGCTAAGGTCAAGGTTATGAAATGGTTTGGTCCACTTAAGGGGGGTCTGAAATCATATTATAAGATTCTTCCAGGCATGAATATGGGAAATATATTATAATATTTACAATTACAGGTAATAATGATAATGTTTAATAAATGTTTCAGCCCCCTTCAACTGTTGTTTTTTTAATCTTTTCTGGGATTCAAGTCTTAATTAGGGGGCCCCCACCCCACCCCACCCCCAATCTCCCCTGTATTTTGAACCCTGATTTCTCGCCCTTTCTAATAATTCGATCAATCAGTTCTCCCTAAGGGTCTGATGAAAGGCACGAGGGGGCATCTATTAAACTGTCAAATAACAGTTTTCAGTCTACACTGCCTTTTGATTCAGCATGGTTGCCTCACTTTGATCAATTGTCCATGCTAGTCTGCTTTATAATGTATTTTAGTGGAAAGTGTTGTCATAGTTTCAGCGCCCATATACATTATATAAAGATTTAAAAGCTATATTTGTCTCCTGTTTGTCACAGTGTAAACCAACCTCTGTTCTCTGTGTTTCAGAGCTGGAGTCTGGAGCTGAGAGAGCACATCACATCCAGCAGATTATTGTGACTCTTCCTCGGACCATCATAATCGTCATGAGATACCTGTTTGCTTTTCTCAACCAGTGAGTTTGTGCTGATTCTCATTCTCATCCCGTATATCTTGTCATGCAAAGCAAAGTATACAAACATGACTTCTTTGGATTAATCACCAAAAGTGTTATGACACTGAATCTTACCCTAGATGTAAATATACAGAAATTCCGTAGGGGAAAATCCATGTGGAATATATTGAATATCAGATAAAGACAGAATAGCTACAGTCAGGACAATTAAGATCCAAATTATTTTTATATTTAAAAAAAAATATAACCAGCTATTTATTGCTTCGTCTGTTTACAGTGCTTTAGACGTTATTTAGAGCCTCGGAAACCCATGCCTCACTGAAGTAGTTTACCTGTCCTCGAATAATAGATGTTATTAATGCTCATTCTCGTGGCTTCGCCTGCTGAACAAAGAGTTTGATTTCATACCCCAGGTTTCACTCCGCTCTCCTTTACCCCCTTCATTGTTATAGCTACTCCAGCTGTGTCTTGATTGCTCAGCCTCAGCTAGTTGATAATATGCAAAGACTGATTATGACTTACTCTTTCAGCTCTGAAAGGTTTGGTTACCAAGAGTAGGTTGTGGCATGCACAAGCAAACTTGATTTGTTGATGGGGATGGCTGATCAGACGTCCTTCTAAGCAAATGACTAACAAAGCTGCGCAATGAAGCAATTAATACTTCACGTCAAAGCTGAATTCAGTTGAAGCCACTCGCTGTGTAAGAGATGTCTCTGCTCCACAGCAGTTAGTTTTCATACATTATGGAATTCATACAAAAACTAACTGTAAACAAAAGTGCAGCCAACGCAGGATTGTTGCCTTATCACTCCTAAACTGATAAGTACATCTTTTAATACACATAATAATCATGAAGAAAAAAAACCCAATGCTGTCCTTTCCCCCCAGTCTCTCCCAGTACAGTGATGAGAACATGATGGATCCATACAATTTGGCTATCTGCTTTGGACCAACCCTGATGCCCATCCCAGATGGCCAGGATCCTGTAGCATGCCAGGCACATGTTAACGAGGTCATCAAGACCATCATCATCCACAATGAAGTCATCTTTCCCAGTCAACGTGAGCTGGACGGCCCGGTGTATGAGAAGTGCATGACTGGGGGGGAGGAGTACTGGTGAGTATTAGCTGGACCAGCTGGTAAACATGTAATTAAAAGACAATTATGTTGAGATTGCATTCCTGTCATCTGTGATTTGCGTTGAGGTTAAGAGGGAAGTGTGACATTTTTATCAGATAATCACCTGCATAAACATGCTTATTTTTCATAAGGAAAATATCTGTCATGCTCCAATGTCAGTGACTTTTCACTTTCCATGTTCTCCTGCAGTGACAGCCCTCACAGTGAACCAGGAACTATTGATGAGGCCGACAACGGAACTGAACCGCACACCAGTGATGAAGGTCGGTACATCACTGTAGTCATTTTTCAATCCTTTTTTTTTTTATCATCCAGCTGTGTTTTTAGCGACTTTAGCGGCTTGGCTCTAGGAACGGCAATGCTGGCCTGGCGGTTGGTCCTAGACTGAAATATTTCACCAACTAATTGCCATGAAACTGATATTCAGGGTCCCCACAGGATGAATCTTACTGACTCTGGGCTCCTGACTTTAGCACCGATCCTCAGTTAAAAATTGAAATTTGTCCAATACTTTGGTTCATGACCAAGTACCTGCAACACCAATAGCATTCCCATAATACTTACGTGCTAATTAGGAAATGTTAGCATGCTAACACACGGAACTAAGATGGTGAACATTATAGTGTACCTGCTAAACATGTTGGCATTGCTATTGTGAGCATGTTCACTTTAATAGAGGCTCACAGAGGATGGCTGTAGACTCCTGCAGAACATTTTTTCTAATGTTAGTAGCTGTGTGAACTGTGGGTCTTGCCTGTGTGTTTTGCAGTCAAGATCAGAGCCGGGGGCAGAGGTCACCAATATTTTCTCTGATAATATAGAATTAGACTTGTTGTAACTTTAGCATTTGAGTTCGCACACAAAAAGCTCTAGTTATAAAGTTGAAAATTCTCCAACTGTGTCAGAGATAAATATGAAAACATTTTTTTGATAGATTGATCATTTAAAGAGAAGCATGTCAAGGTATTTCACATCTTGGCAATTCGTTTTAAATGGATTTCACATGAGAATGTGTATGATGTGATTTTAGAAGTCTTTGTGGATGAGAAAACCTTAAGTACAGACTGACCTTTTTTATTAAGTGCCTTTGACTGAGAGGTGAGCGAGGTTTGCACTGCAACAGCTTATGATCGCGAAGGCTTATGTGATGTTTGAAGCTGAAGGCAAGTTGAGTAAACAGTGTTGGCATGCGGCACTGCTGCTTTGATCCATCTTTCTGTGTGTGTGTATGTGTGTGTGTCTCTGCCCCCCCCCCCTTCGCTCTTTGTTCAGCGTTAGTCAGCAGTTCTCCTGGGACTTTCTCCTTTGTGCAGTATTTCCCCATTTCTCCTCTGAGCTTTGAAAACATAACTGGGCCAGGCACAAAAGCCAAAACACGGGTAATACATGAAATAATATCGCCTGTGCTGTCAGTGAAGAGTGAACAGACAGGTCTATGAAGTATGGAGTATGTTGGGTCAGAGTGAGGTAACTCTATCTCACAGCTTCATCTGTGCTGTTGGCTGCGTCTGTAATGAGTGCTGACCCTTTCTCTCTCTTCTTGCTCTTACTTGGAAAAGAGAACAAAGGCCGTTTGCCTTCTGTAAGGTTCTGCTCTTCCTGGCCTTACTGCTGAGAGTCTTATGTGACATTATAAACTCTGCTGTTGCACTGTAGTTTCTGCGGTCAGTTCAGTCCGTGGCCTCTGGCAATAATTCAGTTTTCATGGAGGAAAAATAAGTTGATGTTGTTAAATTAAGAACGGGTTAGCCAAGCTGTGATGATGGTAACTTTTCACTTTTCATTACTCTATAATTGAAACCAAATTGGAACAATGCTGCTTTTCAACCTTATTATCCCTTTAACACCCTTGCACCCCTCTGGTTAGTTTTCAAAATGAATAGTTTTCTTGCTGAGAGCTGATTGATGTTAACCATAGAGTTTACTATGACTGACTGACTGTGGCAAAAACTGCTTAATTAATCAGCCTTGTCTTATCCTAAAACCTATTCCCACATGTTTAAACAGTAACATCTATTTGTAATATAGTCTACTACTCAATAATTATTTAAGCTACAATGAAATAATTATGTAGTAAGCAATAAGTATGTGATTTGTGATTGTAATTTACAGAGATGTACTGAGTTTAATGTTTTGGAGATAACAACATTACGTCTTGCATCACAGCACGGATCAAAGCACTCTAAAGTTTTTATTATTGTGGGTTTTTGTGCTACATGTGCATGCTAATAACCTTCAATATGACCAAAGCCATGTTGAAGTCCATCAATGAAACTGTTAAGCTATTTACTGATGTTATTTTTTTTGTTTTTGTTTTGTCTATTTATGTTTTCTAGAGGTTGAACAGATCGAAGCCATTGCCAAGTTTGACTATGTGGGACGCAGCCCCAGGGAGCTGTCCTTCAAGAAGGGAGCCTCTCTTCTTCTGTATCACAGGGCGTCTGAAGACTGGTGGGAGGGCCGTCATAATGGTGTTGATGGTCTCATCCCACATCAGTACATTGTAGTACAAGACCTGTGAGTAAAAGCAGAATGTATTTTAGTAGGTGTTATTGTCAGTAATTCCCTTGTGTGATCCTAATCTCTTATGAAAGGTTATTTTCTTAACTTGAGTGATTTACCTCTCAATATAGTTACAGTAGCTTAACAAGGCTCATTGTCATGTCACAAAATTGAAGGAGAAAATGTGTGTGTCTTTCAGTGATGATGCTTTCTCAGATAACCTCAGCCAGAAAGCAGATAGTGAAGCGAGCAGTGGACCGTTGCTGGATGATAAAGGTTCATCTAAAAATGACGTCCCATCACCATGTGAACAGTCACCTGATTACAACTTTGGCGGAGTCATGGGGAGGTAGATGCCACTGAGAATAAACACCTTTCTTGTTTTGAAAATTTCTCCTTCTGAGGGAATTCCCTGTTTGACACTAAAACGATCCCGTTGCACAGGGTGAGGTTACGGTCCGATGGCGCTGCAATCCCACGTCACCGTACAGATACCCACAGTCCGACAAGAGTGGCCGACACTCCGCCACGAGCCGCAGCCTGTCCCAGCAGCCCCCACAAGGTGTCTATAAGCAAGGGTCGCATGGAGAGCCCAGAAAAGAGGCGCCTCGGTACCTTTGGCAGTGCAGGAAGCATCAACTACCCGGACAGGAAGGCCTATCCTGACGGCCACCCCCTGAGACCAGTGCCAGGGGCCACTCGTCACAGCAGCCTCGGGGACCACAAATCGCTGGAGACTGAGGCTCTTGCTGAGGTAAGGCTTTGTCATCAACCCCCTGGCTTGTAAATGTTTTTAGTCATGGCCAATTATTACCTGAATGTGTGTGCCTTCAAGTTCACTGGACTGTTTTCTGCTGTTCTTTATACCGTCCAGCTATCTGTCCATGCACACGTCCTTTAACTGAGTGTGAGCTGTTGAAAATATGAAATAATTATTGACAGTAAGCTATAAACATATTTATGTTTATTGACTCTGTGTTGTGAGTACCAGACATATTATAACATTTCAGACAATTATAGCATATAATTGGGTATGTTTGGTAGAACAGAGCTGGGCCCCCTGCTGTAGCTGTCAGTCTGAGAGCAGCAGCTGGGACCTGCAGTAAATGTCAGAGCCAGACTGCAGCTGGGCGATAGACACACCTCAAGGACACAGAGGCCTGGAACTGAATAACAACTCCTCATCAGCTAATGACTGCAGCCATTAGGTCCCAACACAATCAAACAAAATGTTCAGCTCCTACTTCAACTTGACTAGAACCAGAAAGGCCCTGATTATTTATTTCAGAAAATCGCTTTAGTTGTGTTGGATGCGACATCAAGCCTGCATCTATTTTCTGTCAGAAGTGATTACTGATGTGAGTTAATGCAGTGCAGACCTTTCAAGTCAACCTGTGATGGAAGTACTGAAGTGCAACAATAATAATGTAACACTAACAAAAGTTATTGTAGACAACATAAGCAACAGAAATGAATTGAAACCAGTGTGTGCCTGAAACTGCAGATGCTTACTTCTATAACCTGCAGGTTCACATTCAAATGCTATATGTCGCACTATGTGACGTACTCTGCTGACCTGCCTGTTATTATTGTTCTGTTCTCCTCATCCTCATCCCTCTGCTCCCAGGACATAGAGAAAACAATGACTACAGCGCTCCATGAGCTGCGGGAGCTGGAGCGACAGAATACCGTTAAGCAGGCTCCCGATGTGGTTTTGGACACCCTGGAGCCCATGAAGAACCCGGTTAGCTCTGAGCCCGGCAGTCCGCTGCATACCATTATGATCCGTGATCCAGATGCAGCCATGCGCCGCAGCAGCAGCTCCACCTCTGAGATGATGACCACCTTCAAACCTGCTCTCTCCGCCCGCCTGGCCGGGGCTCAGCTACGCCCCCCACCCATGAGACCAGTGCGTCCTCCTCCGACGCAGCACCGCTCCAGCAGCTCCAGCTCCTCAGGAGTCGGCAGCCCTGCTGTAACTCCCACCGAGAAGATGTTTCCAAGTAACAATTCAGCTGCTGGTTCTAATATGAATGCATCCAGTGATGCTGGGGATAAGTCTGGTACCATGTAGCAAAGGTGGAATCTGCTAGGTGGGAAGGTTGTAAAGTTTTCCAAGTGAGGGGGAAGCTTATGGAAGTGGGTGCTGATGTGTGGGAAGCAGAGACAGATATTCACCTCTCTGTTTTCTGCCTGACTTAATTCATATATTCAGGAAGCTCCTGAAGCGAGCCTACCGTATGTTACCATGGTGATAAAGCGGTGGAAGAAGCTGTAGAGGTGTGACAGCATGAAGCTTGAACCTCTTTAAAACTTGATTTAACTACAGTAAATGTGTATAGGAATACGTGTATTTCAGTTTTACCTCAATTTCAACAAAAATCTGTGGCCATGTTCTCGTTTCAGAGATGCAGTGAATGCAAGTGAAGCAATACTTGTGTGAAATCTGGTATTAGTTTCTACCCAGCGAACACTGTCCAGCTGATGCTTCAGTCACTTCAGCTGATGTGTATGAAACACCTCATCTGGACTAGTGTACACATTCAGGCTAATATACCATGTCTATCTATCATTGAGGTCATAGGCCTTATGGCTGTACATAAAAACTTACTTGAAGTTGCCATGGTTTCTGTTTGTACTATAATTCAGTGGATGTTCAGCAAAGTATCAACATAGTGACATTATATACTTCTGCATGCAGGGTTTGGAGAAAATAAGGGACCCATTAAAGGCTTATTGTAATGATGCAGAGTTTTCTCATGTTGTTCATTGTAAACAGAAAATAATTACTTTGAAACCTGATGAAAAAATATCAAGTCTCAAATGTTCAAATACATGACAAAGTAATACATTAGGACATTACAGTGTTATATTTTAAAGATGCCATGTGTGTGGCTGTTGGTACTATAGATGTTGTACCTGAAGTCATCCTGTTCACTGCTAAAGATAAAGCGTCCAGATGTGTGAAGATGATCTCTGAAGTTGTAGACATTACTTTCAGGAGTCATCCTCTGCCATCATGGGCGGTGGGCATGTTGCCATGTTTTTTTTTTTCTATTTCCTGTATATGAAATGCAGAAAACTAATGCATCAACTAATGTAGGAATCCTGTGGTAAACTTGTACATAATATATAGCTAGTAATTTTTTTAAGTGTTAATCTTGTACAGGCTAATTCAAAAAATAAAGGCAAAGGGTTGATGTGAATGGCACTTGTAAAGAACATAAACCACCTTTTTATCATCTTCAGTAAACTAGAAACATATTCTTTGGCTGTGTACAATATAGTTCAGATCATTTACTGTGTACTGTGTGTTTAGATTGCATTTGGTAATTGTACTGTAGAAAACTGATTGCTGTTGAACAGACCGCAAAGGCCGAACAAATCTTTTCTCCATTATGTTTTTTTTTTTTTTTGGTTTTGGTTTGTTTTTTTGACACACTCACCCAGTTTCAGACAGTGCGTAAAACTTGGAACTGTTTCCCGTTGAAGACTGATATGGGTGATTTTCATTATTGCATAAGAAACATTGAAAAGTACCCTCTGCAAGTTCCTCTTTCAAATTTAAGATGCGATGCTCACCCAGAGGGACCTGAAAGTAGATGTTGTGACATAGTGTTATCAAAGCCGTTTCCTTCCTTCCTGCCTTGTCCTTATCTCTGTTGATAGACACAGTTCTGCTCTGACTGTGTACTCTTTCTTGTTCCTTTGGAGGAAAACTGAATAAGAACTTTTCAGTGTTTATATCTACTGTCATTCTCACAGCTCTAGTCCAGAGACTTTGTTATGCGCATCCCTATGAGCCTGCTCTGTTCTGCATGTTTTGCGCTGTAATGACTGACTCATATTATGCAGCAGTTAAACAATGGCTGTATGTGGTGCCTTGCCTTGGTAAAATGCACAAATAATTTCAGTATTGGACTTTTTTTTTTTTTTTTAAAGAAACGGGCCTTAACATTTATGGGGGTTGGGAATGATGAATTAAGCCACTTGTAGCAGTTGTTAAAATAGAAGGGAAAGAGAACTAACAATGCTTGATTCAGCAAAAGGAAACTTAAATATGAGCATGTCAACCAGGCATTGACTCCACTGCCAACTCTGCAGTCATTCTGTACATTCTGCAGTGTTACAGAGACACATGCTGTAAACAGAACATATTCGCTTGTGGTCAATGTATTGTCTGCTTTTTATTTGTCATGGGCAGATATATAAATATCCAGGGTGGGAGAATCTTTAAGAACACAGAGCTCCTACAGCCAGAGAAAAGGCAATACAGCATTTAAAGTCATACAGCGCAGTCACGCTCTCTGCTGGTTCCTGCTGGTATCGCTTCTTGTGATGAACCAGTAGACACCGTCACCTCATGTGGGCATTATGAGTGTGATCTGGAGCTGATATTACAATCACCTGGTTCATCCGCATCGTTCCTCTTATCTTTCCTGGCTACAGTTTTGCACCTGTTGAAATCTATGAAGATAGAAACATATGTTTATTGAAATATGAAGAAAGCACACAATTTCAAAAGATGAAATGATCATCATTATATTTAACTAGACTGTTTTTTTTTTTTTATTTATAGAGTGTAAGTGGAGCAGAAAAATTTGAGTGCCTTTTGTGCACAACATCAGTTTTTATTGGACTTTTATATTTACTTTTTTTAAATGTAATATGTTGTCTATTAGTTGTCATGTTAATTATAAACTGATGTTGCTTTTTTATCCTTTCTTTCTATTGCTAATTACTCGTCGACCACCATAAGGAGTACATTGTGTAAAGATATTCCTCTCTTGAATTACACAACAATTATCATGAACTGCTCGTCTGTGTTTGGGTGATCCCTGAAGAATAGGAGTTATAAAAACTACTGTATACACAATCTACTGGTAAAGTTCAGTAGAGTCATCTCAGAATATTTCTTTCATATTTTTGTTTTCCCTGTGAACTGCCTGTGCTGTGGTTGAGCCGTAACTCTTGTCATTTAGCTTCTTCCCTCTCAAAGAAAAATCATTGCAGTATTGTTGGAAACAGCAGGACTGATATGGAACCTCTACATGCAGAGCTTATGACTCTCGTTTTCCCTACATGTGATGTTACACAGACTTTTTTTCTTTCCAGGAATGAATGCTGAAATGGGTAACACTGTTTGTCTGCTGACATGAGACAACATTAAGGTTGACATTAAAAAAGAAGATAGCAGTGAGGGAGCAGGCTGAGCGCCTGTCATGTTGTGGGGACCGGAGTGTGAGTTGCCGTCACACTGTTTACCTTCTCTTTAATTGTTTGTCTAGTGATGCTGTTTGTTGATGAGTGTCTGGTTGGTTGAAACCCTGTGATGTAATGTACACCATACCACTGACTGGATGTTGAAAACCCCTGCGTCCAAATAAAACCATTATTGCTCTGTGATCTGGATATTCTGAGTGATTTGTTTTTGATTTGTGGTGTTAGAAGGTTGTGATCCAGTTGTGAGGAAAAGGTGAAGCACATCACAAAAACCCAAACTATATGTCTCCTTGATTTGACTAACAATGCTTTAGATACAGATAAAGATGTGTTTGCATCACTGGTGGACTTTAACATTTAGTAGTTTAGATAATTACAATTTTGGCGTACTTTTACCTTACGTGAATATTTCTTTATATTTTCACTGAGTGAAATATTCTATTAACTACATTTATTAGACAGCTGGTAAAGATCTACATACAAAGACTTTGGTCATTTTGTATGATATGACAAACTGTTACAGACTAAACTACCCAACAGTAAGTATGTGGTTAAAATTGGCTCACTGGAAATTTTACTTCCTGATTAATGGAACAGTGAAATTAATCCAATAATATTATATGCGCAATGTAACAATCACATGGGCCATTTTTCTGCTGAACAAGTACTTTTACTTTTGATTCCTTGAGTAAAGATTATACTTCTGTCCTTTTACCTAAGTAAGATTTCTAATGTTTGACATTCTTGTCATGGGTTTTTTTTTTTTTTACTCTAGGTGACATTTGCCAGATTTGGGGTGATATGTTCACTTTTTCATAAAAATATGAAACTTGGCACACTTGAACAGTTTGGGGCCCCGAATATTTTCACAAATGGAGCCATTGCAAAAACCTACCAACCTCTACGACCGCATCAGCAGCCAGATCAACATCGATCAAGCTTGTCTTGAGCTGTTCGCAAAGAAAGGAAGAGGAATGGAGCACATCCCCCAAAATAAGCCAAAGATGTGGGGGTTGCTCCAAATGTACTACCAAATGTAACTTCTTTTAACTTAAACAGCAGTGGTAAACAGAAAGTTAGATTAAAAAGGACGAGATACACAGATGAAGTGACTCACTCAAGATTAACATTAAATTGATTGCAACGAGACAGAGTCTGTAGTTCACTCTGTGGCCACATGATGGAGAAACTGCAGCAGAGAAAGTGTGTGATGAACACAGATGAAGCTTTACATGTTGAATGTGCACTGAGCACTCTATTGATTACTAGGAATTAGGAAGTAGTGATGACCATGCAGAGAACAAAGTTTTGCATAGATTAGGTGATTACATCTCCCTCTGAAATGAGCTTTCTAGTTCATTGGTCAGAGAGTGTTACACCAGCAGCTCACACTGACAGAATATAAACAAAATTCAGTTTGTTCCATCTGAGTAACTCCTGTTCAACAAGACCATGTCGAACAAGCAACTATTCATATTTTTCATTAGTCTCGAAAGTATATCACTTACTTACAATTTGAGATCTACTGGCATTATTTTAAAGTGTTGTGAGCTTAGGCTAGTAGATCTGACACATTCAATTATGAAATCAATCAATCAATGGGATCTGATAATGTGACTTCAAGTTTTCTAAAGCAATTCAAACAAACAATTTACATGAACAATTTTATTTTCTCGGATGTCATTTTATGTCATAATGATTAATTGGATATTGTGTGTGAGAAAGGAAGCAGTGGTTATTAAGATGACAGGAGAAAAGACGTATTAAGTTACTCTAATTACAGAAGAACCCCCACAAACATGTCTGTTTATAGAGAGTGAAATAGTTTATATTTTCATTATTCAGTATCAACTAACACCTTACGTCATTATAATATCATCACTAAGCACATCCATCCGTTTCCATGTTTGGTAATTAGGTTGCATGATGAATATTCAGTTTTTACAAATGATTTTGTTCCTTTTTTCCCCTGAAAGCAGTGAGCACCGTGCCACACATCCTTGCTGACTTCAGGCTCCTTAAGAATGGAGGCAAAAAAGATGGCAAATCTCAGGACATGAATGTGCTGGTGCTTAACCATGAAAAAGTGGGTTTCGTACCAAGATGAACTTGCAAATGATCTTATAAATTATTTAAATTACTCGGAAAGAAAAGAAGAAAAAGAAAAAGTAAAGTGGTCACCAACAAAAAAAATCTACAGTTACTTCCGCTGGCATGGAAATCGTTGTATGCCTCTAGAATGAGGTATGTTTCATCAATGAAGAACAGATGCTGCAGCTGCTTTGAAAAAGAAGTTGCATAAGCCCTCTCCAGTGGCCTAATTTGGCTGATCTTCCATTATAATTAACACGCAAATGAGAGTAAACTGTTCAATAAAGAATGATTTCTTTTTAAGAGTCACAGTGAACAAAATTATCATTATTAACTTCTTGTTTCAACCTACATCTTATGTGCCTTCAGCTCAGCTTCATCACAATAATTAATGGTGAAGCAGTTACACCCTTCAGCTAAAACCCCTCGAGGACCAGTGACAAGCCGTAGATCATTCATTTTCATAATCAGAATAAAACAATTTAAACAAATCAAAGTCATGTATTATTTATTTCAAGTGTTTCCACATTATATGAAATGTTTTAAGGCAAAAATAGCAGGTGGTGCAATTATCATAAATGAGAGTGGATATTTTTACATTTATTACCTGCAGCTGGTAAACAAGCTGAGACATAATGTGTGATGGCAGAATGCATATGATATACTGTTATTTACGTACACTAGCATTTTGATCAGCGGTCAAAAACAGGGTCAACATGGTTGTTGGAGGACGTTGGAAAGTTCAAATGAAGTTTATTTTCTAATCAGAACAAAGACAAAGAAAACAAGTAGAAAATTGCATAAGCAGAGTTAATCTCCTCAGTTATCTGGGAATTTCACCAAATTGGAATTGTTGTTATGTTGTACTGAGGCAATTCTTTGCTTGATAATGCAAACCGTTGCCTCAGTTCAAAGATACTCATATTAGTATCCCAAGGAATAATTCCATCTCTGTTGTTCACATTTCCTTATTGTGATTTATCACAACATGTACTATTAAAGATTTTCTTAGTTTAACACTTTTTGATTTCAACATTTAGGCTAGACACTTACAGGTTACAAATTACAGGTAGGTGGGGGTTTAGTGCTTTTCTCAAAGTTACTTTGGCAAGATGCAAAAACTTTGGAGGGACCAAACCGAGGGCTTTCCAGTTGAGAGGAAAGCCAGAACAGATGGAGATGTTGTTGGCAGGACAGAGACAAGGGACTGTTCTATGAACGGACGAGAACCGTTTTTATTTTTGATACTTTGTCGGTCTCAGAGTGTCAGAGAGCGATCACAGCGCTGCAGAGATCCCTGAAATACTTTAGTCTTCATGCTGTAGGGCAATCAATAATGTTACTTTGATGTATTTCCATAAAAAATATCTGACCTCACTCCAAGATGGGAACATCTTTTCGGTTGCTTTATATTTATGAAACAAGTTACGTCGTGACTTGCTTCATCAAGCATGAATAAAAAGAAACTCAAATAATCATCAGACTTTCAAGGTGATTGCAAACAGAAACACCTGAATTCAGTGACATTTACAGCTATGCCTGTATCATTGATGTGCAGGGATGCAGCAGGGAAGAAATGAAAGCCAAAGAGATATAGCAAGTCTCTCACCCTCGCACAAATAACACCAAAGAGTTCATGACAAGCAACGCACGCACACACAAGATCAGTGCTCATAACTCCTGATCATATGCCCGCACAAGAAACACATGATCATAGATTGCACATTCGAGCTCTGAGATCTGAGTGTTACTTTTTATATTTATGCTGTTTTTGCAGTGGAATTCCAAATATAGCTTTACACTTATGACTGAACTTTGAAGTGAAGTTTTTGAAGATGAGATGCCAACGCCGAGGCCCGGGTCAGAGCTGACACTGCACTCTTTCATAGCACACCTGTTTATTTGAAGCAAGTGAAAAACAAATGGCCACAAACAATGTGATCAGGTAGAGTTAGCTTTCATCACACGGCTATTCATGGGTGAGGCAATTTTGTTTGCTGTTAATACACCTATGATTGAATGTCTGATTAATTACTTAATTTATTTTCTGAGGTTATAACAAATGAAAGCAGACCATTAAAATGATCTCCACCCAGTCGTTCATGAGTTTAATCACCCAGTGCAGGTAAAAGGTTGACAGTAGTTGTAACATTACTATGTCCTTCATGGCTGCATGGATTGTGCAAAGTGCATAAACAAACACCATGGTAATGATATTGTTTGTTTGTTTGTTTTTAAAAATTCAAAATCAGCGACCTTGTGGTGCACTAGGACAAGGTGATTGATGAAGTGAACTGACAGCTCCAACAAACATTCTGCAGTCTGCCTCACAATAAGCCCGCTCCCTCCTTCATCCTTTCCGTCTCCAGCCACTGTATACTGTCAGATTTACAAGTGTACTACCAGAAACACTAAAAACCCATCAGAAAGATTCATGGCCCACACACTGTATACATTTTGAAGGTAAACCCATATAAAATAATAGGTGAAATCAATCAATTTACAGTTGTATTTGATATGGCAGGCATACTGATAGAGTCAATTTAAAGTTTAGTAGCTGGTTGGTCTGGTGTAGTCCAGTCCACGGTTAGCAAGGAATTATAGGAATTAATTCCCGCAAATTTTCAATTAAGTGCACCTGCACATAAAAGAACGTCTATCACCTCAATAATTAAATGACCTCTGGGTAGAATATTCATGAAACCTACATAATATGTTGTGTAAATGTAGAATTGATAAGAATATCAGCTTCTGTCAATTACTTGAGCAACTCAAGTTCATTTCAGTTTAACTGCAGATAGCGTCTCATGTCACATGTAATGAGTAATGTGTGTAAAATACTGCTAATAATTACTTTAGAATAAAATAAAATTCTCCAAATCCAGGTCACAAAACAGCTTAACTTCTATCTATAACATACTGTGGTAAACATTAAAAGGGTTAAAAATGCATAAACAAACAGGACAGGAATAGCCAATTTATTCTTAATGTTTTTGTTTTTGAGACTCAGGGTGTTGGAGTGGAAATGCCAAAGTGGTTTCTGTTGTTCTACTCCTGCTAAATCAAACTGAAGCCCAATTTTATC